TGCCTGCTCGTGGTGCTCTGCATGGCTGGTAGGTGGAGGTAAGGAGGTGTGGTGGTGATGGGAGAGGGGTAAGGCATGGGAGCATGTGTGCAGCTCAGTCCCTTTGGGGCAGCGCCCGCTGTGGTTCTGGCTTGTGGCTCTGTTGTGGTCAGTGGAAAGTGTGTGGCATGGCAGTCGTTCCTCAAGTAACAACACTGGCGTATCGTATAATGGAACCGGACAGAGCCGTGTACACCGGCTCTGGTTGGGAGTCCCCTCCTACAACGCTTTTGTAAGCGGGATTTGAGTCTTGGGCCTCCCGTGCACTTTCCACTGCCACACTTTGACCACAAGGCAGTGCTATGGGGGGTGTTGTTTCCGAAGGGGAGTGGGTTGCATGCGGCTCCTAGTGCTGGGAAAGGGTGTGGGGGGGGGGGGAGGTGGGAAGGAGGATGGTGGGGGGGGTAGAAGGGGGCCTGAAACTCCCTTGGTGATTTGAATGATGGGCAAAGGAGGGCGTCTCCAAACAGTCATCACTGTAAGTTGAGTAAGAGGGAGAGGAGGGGCGAAGGAGGACGTCTGCTATTGCCACTTAATTTGAGTGAGAGGGAGAGGCGAACAGGGGCGTAAAACCTCTTTGGTGAGTCAAACGACAGCAAAGGAGGGCGTCTCAACCACCTCTGTAAGTTGAGTGAGAGGGAGAGGCGAACAAGGGCGTGAAGCCCCTTGGGTGAGTCAATGATCAGCAGAGGAGGGCGTCTCAACCACCTCTGTAAGTTGAGTGAGAGGGAGAGGTGAACAAGGGCGTGAAGCCCCTTGGGTGGGTGAATGATCAGCAGAGGAGGGCGTCTCAACCACCTCTGTGTTGAGTGAGAGGGAGAGGCGAACAGGGGCGTGCCCCTTGGGTGGGTCAATGATAAGCAGAGGAGGGCGTCTCAACCACCTCTGCAAGTTGAGTGAGAGGGCGAGGAGAGGAGGGGGCTGAAACCAGGAGCGTAAGTGAAAGAAATGATGGGAGCTGCAACCACCATGGTAAATTGAGAGTGAGAGGGAGAGGAGGGGTTGCAACCCGTTGGGGAGGAGAAAGGGAGGAAGCTGCAACCACCAGGGTAAGCTGGGTGAGCGAAGGGGGGTTCAAACCCCCAGGATAAGTTGGGTGTGAGGGAGACAAGACACGAAGCCTGAAAACCCCAAGAAAATTGAGTGAGTGGGGGCAGAGAGAGGGGGCGTGGAACATTCGAGGGGCTGGATCCCTTGAGGGGCTTTCACCCCTGAGGGGCTTTCACCCCTGAAGGGCTTTCACTGTTGAGGGGCTGAAACCAGTGAGGGGCTGAGATGAGAGCGAGTAACTGCATTAGGAGGGGGGGGAGAGAGGGGGAGGGGGGGGTGGAGTGTTTCGAAGTAACATGAGAGCAAGGCAGGGGAGTGGGTTTGGATTTCTCAGGGTAAGGCTGGCGAGGGACAGGGGGGGAGAGGGGGGTTGAAACTCTCAGATTAAGGCAAGCAAGAGGCAGGAGAACTCCCCTCCTCTGCCTTTGGTTCGCCTTAACTTGGGGGTTTCAACTCCCCTCTGTTGCCTCTCAATCGCCTTACCCTCGGAGTTTCAGCCCTCCTCCCATGTCTTGCCCGCGTGTTGCCTTGGAGCTGCCGCTGCCTCTCTCTGTCCTCTGCCCCTACCCGTACCTTCTTTAAGGGGCTGGAATTCCCCTAGGGCTTTTCCTAGGGGTAGACGCCCCTATACGCGGTGAGCTGAAACACCCAGGGGTTTGTGGGTGGGAGGTAGAGACGGGGGCTGAAACCCCCTAGGTGGGTGAGTGGATGAGAAGAGGGCTGAATGTCCTCAGCTGGGTGAGTGGAAGAGAAGCGTTAAGCCGAGAGTTCCACATGATAGGCGGCAAATGATGATGCCCCACATGCTGCCTGATGCCCCACGTGCTGCCTGATGCCCCACGTGCTGCCTGATGCCCCACGTGCTGCCTCATGCCCCACGTGCTGCCTGATGCCCCACGTGCTGCCTCATGCCCCACGTGCTGCCTGATGCCCCACGTGCTGCCTGATGCCCCACGTGCTGCCTGATGCCCCACGTGCTGCCTGATGCCCCACGTGCTGCCTGATGCCCCACGTGCTGCCTGATGCCCCACGTGCTGCCTGATGCCCTACGTGCTGCCTGATGCCCTGTCATGTGGGCTCGTTGGGTCAACCCATTCCAACCCCCAGGGTATGTTGAGCGAGAGAAAGGGGGCCTGAAACCCCTGGGGTAAGGTGCGTGAGCGGGGGAGGATAAATGCGGCCTGGAGTCCCCAGAGTAAGTGGTGTGAGGGGCAGTGGAGGGGAAGGGGGCTTGCAGCAACCAGGAGGGTAAGTTTATTTAGAGGGAGGAGGGCAAGGGGCCTGAAACCTCAGGGTAAGGTGAGTGAGAGGGAGAGGACAAAGGGGGCTTGAAACCCCAATGTAGGGTGAGTGAGAGGGAGGGTTGAGAGGGGGCCTGAAACCCCAGGGTAAGGTGAGTGAGAGGGAGAGGAGAAGGGGAATTCGAAACCCCTGGGGTATTTTGAGTGAGGAGCAATGGAGGGGGGCTGCAGGAACCACGAGGGGTAAGTTGGTTGAGGGACAAAGAACGCGGGCAAGCACGAGAGAAAGTTGATTCAGGGGGAACGAATGGAGGCTGCTGTCTCGAAGGGGGAGTTGAGGGAGAGGGGAAGGGGAAGGGGGCCTGAAGCCCCCAAGGAATATTGAGTGATGGGCGATGGAGGGCCACTGCAGCAGCCCTCAGAGTAAGCAACCGTTTTCTGAGGGGCAAGGAATTGGGGCTGCAAGCACCAAAGGTAAGTTGGGTTAGAGGGCGAGGAGAGAGGAGTCCTTAAACCCCGCAGGTGAGTTGAGTGAAAGGGAGATGAGTGGGTTGAAGCCCCCAGGGGGTTACAACCCTCTGGGAGATTCACTGAGGCGCAAGTGAGGGAGCTGAGCGGCAAGCACCCAGGTAAGATGAGATCGAGAGGGAGTGGAGAGAGGTACAACCCTTTGGGGAGTGGCAATGGATAAGTTGAGTGAGAGGGGGCTGGTGCCAGCAGTGCAAGTCAAAGGAAGGGCAAAGGAGGGTGTCTGCACTGGAGCTTGAGAAAGAGGAAGAGGTGAAGGCTGTTTGAAACACCCAGGGTAAGTTAAGTTTGGGGTGAGAGGTGAAACGGGGCCTGACACCCACTGACCCACTAAACCTCTTTCCCTATCCCCTCTATCCCTATCCCCGCTATCCCTATCCCCTCTATCCCTATCCCCTCTATCCCTATCCCCACTATCCTTATCCCCTCTATCCCTATCCTCTCTATCCCCATCCCCTCTATCCCTCTCCCCTCTATCCCTATCCCCTCTATCCCTGTCCCACTATCCCTATCAACTCGATCCCTATCCCCACTATCCCTATCCCTTCTATCCCTACCCTCTCTATCCCTATCCCCTCTATCCCTATCCCCTCTATCCGAATCCCCACTATCCCTATCCTCTCCATCACTATCCCATCTATCCCTATCCCCTTTATCCATCTCCCCTCTATCCCTATCCCCTCTATCCCTAGCCTCTCTATCCCTATACCCTCTATCCCTATCCCCTCTATCCCTAACCCCTTTATCCCTAGCCCCTCTATCCCTATCTGCTGTATCCTTATCCCCCCTATCCCTATCCCCTCTATCCTTAGTCCCTCTATCCCTATCCCCTCTATCCCTATCCCACTATCCCTATCAACTCTATCCCTATCCCCACTATCCCTATCCCCTCTATCTCTATCCCCTTGATCCGTATCCCCACTATCCCTACCCTATCCCTTCTTTCCCTACCCCCTCTTTCCCTGTACCATCTATCTGTGTGGGGTGACGTGAGAATAATGTTCTCAAACAACTTATAAAAGTGGTAGGCTTGGTGATGGGGGAAACATAGCAACTGGCTGACGCATGGGCAGGAGGGTGGGCGTACCTATGACAGGAAGGGACAGTGGGGCTGGAAGGGTGCTGAAGGGAGGGTGGGGTTGGAAGGATGGTGTAGGGTGGATTTCAGGGCTGTTTTGTTGATATGAGGGCTGCTTCTTCGGATGCCATAAGATCTGTAAAGTGGATGCGGGAGTGACACGTGTACATATTCTGGACTTTGGGTATCTATCTAACCCTGCAGAAACAGCAGTTTACTCTATGGAATGTGCTTGTGGTACTTAATAAGGGATAATGGTGGAGATTGGGTGGGATGAGGGGGAATGGGTGAGATTGGGTAGGGTTAAAATATCATAGATTGTGGAATGTGAACTAACTTTATTGACTGCTTCACATTTGGACCAGTGGAAGATTGGTATGGTTGATGATGACTAGATAGACTGTGGCTTGGTTCCTTCGGCATTCACCCAATCCCAAGTTACCAGAGTTTTGGCCGAGGCTTTCTCCATATGTGTTGAAGTCGCTCTAGTTGTTTCTAATGTACGACAACGCATATCTAGTGCTCCTCACATTGCATAACTTCTTTTCTCGATGTGATATGTGGAGTGGTGGAATAGGATTACTGGATATTGCTCCCCTGAAGACTCGTCCGGGATAGCACCATTGCCATTTTGAGACTTAGATTGGTTGAATAGGAGTGACTATGTAAATCTACAAGTGGAGGTTCTGGTCGTATTGGGTTATGCTTTGCGGTAAATTGTGTGCATTTGGTCTCACGTCTTCAATTTCACGTCACACAAACGAAGCAGGTTAATTCAGTTCCCAAGCCGTTGAACTGGATACGCCAGGGGCAACAGTGAGCGTCGGCTTCGCAGAAACTTGAACTGAGCGTAATCGAGCAATCCGGACCGTCCATACGCTACGTAGCGACGGTAAAAGCCCGTTTTGCAGGTCACCGCAATCTCGCGAATGTCGCGTAGGAATCTGCGGGTCTCGATTGGTCCCTCCCCAGGGAGTACCGTTGGCGATAACGGAGGGAAACGCACACTGGAAAATGAGAGTAGGCAGCGGCAATCCCTAGGCTCTGGGGAGACTCAGGCATACTCATAGCTCGGAGGAAAAGCAGCATCCGAGATTTCGGTTGTGTGCTGTGTTTGGTAGAGCAGGAAGAGGACTAGTTAGGGAGTTTGAGGGAGTCAACGGAGCAAGGCCAGTGGGATCCAGAGCCTGCCTTTCAGGAGGACTAACCTGGCCTTATCCGTCGTCCGTTTCTCCGGATCACACTGTTGACTTATATTTGAGGCAGTCATTAGCCAGTATGGAAGAAGTGGCGGTTATTGCTGATGCGGCAGGACCTTCCAAGTTCTCCCTCTTACTACCCTCCCACCAAGGATTCATGATGATTTTCCAGAACCGGCCGTTAATTGTAGCCTTTATCTCGCTCTGGGTCGCGCAATTCCTCAAGCCGTTCACATTATGGTAGGTTTCCAGTATGGTAGGCTCTATCGCGTAGACAATTATCCAAGACAGGAGTTTCTTGTCGCCATTCAGCAGCGTTTCGTTTTACATCTAGATTCGCTGACTCACGTATCGATCATCGGTAATGCCCGAATGTGTCAACCCACAATCCATGCTGACATTCCGGCGGATGGCATAGAATCCGTTTCTATGCCGCCTGATACGGATCAGGTCGTTTCAGCCAAGCGATTCACATGGCTGGAGATTTGTGAATGACGTTTAGCCCGTGCGATTCAGAAACAGACACCCGCGAATTTGTCTATGCTGTTTCCTCCGTTTCAACCGTGAGCAGGCACAAGGAGAAGCGATGGGATTTCAAGCGAATTCTAGGGTCCGGCGGCATGCCGTCGTCGCATTCATCATCTGTCATGGGCCTGGCGTGCGCGGTGGCCTTTCAAGAAGGCGCCGCGAGTCCGCTCTTCGCCGCTTGCCTCGTTTTCGCCGTCGTTGTAAGCTTATCAGAACGTTTACGTTTTTCTCTATTTGGATCCTGCTACTCTTTCGCGCTCATATGGCAGGGAGGCTCGAGAGCCTGTTGTTCTTTCTGCTGGCGAATTCGCATGCTGACTGGCTCGTGCGAATGTTTCCTCGCTCACTGCAGGTCATGTATGACGCCTCCGGTGTCCGGCTTCAGGCAGGCCGGCAAGCAGAGGTACGTGAAACTTCTCATGGAACATTCTTGAGCTTCTCACGGTTAGTATCCGAATGCACGGATACTGATCGCTTGGTAAGGAGCAGCAAGTGTGTGGGATGAGGTGATGGTCATCCTACATTGTCCCACACACTCATCTCCTGCTACAGTGCACCACGTTGTCGCCTTTCCAGTGTCACGTGTACCCATTCCACAGAGCAACGCATGGTCTCAAACTTACCCACGCAATTTTTCCGTTCGGGTTCAAGCCATCCTTGTGATGAACCCCATCCCTGCTGCATGACCAGCACAGCCCTGTCTCGTCCAAACGTACTTACAAGCTCTCCTCTCTCATCATGCTACTTGTCCTCCATGCAGGTGCTGAACCAGATCGTGTATGAGCTTCCACCAGACCATCCCCTGGCTGAATCACGGCCTCTCAAGGAACCCATCGGCCACACACCCCCACAGGTAGGCACGCTGTTACCACAAACACTTAACCACAGGTATGCACACACCCCCCCCTGCAGGTAGGCACGCTGGTACCGCACACAACCACAGGTAAGCATGCTATAACGACACTCCGCCCCAAATTATCAGGTATACAGAGTCACAACAAGTCACCAAATATCATATGCACACCGGCTCACCATTGCAAGTGAAGCTCTTAGTCACTCACCTGTGTGGCACATGATCACCCACAGCAGTACAGCTTACCAGGTGACATGCTTTTTAGAACTGCCGTCGCACGTCCAATGTGTTTATGTTGTTCCTCTGTGAAAAAAAACGTTTCTTGCAGGTGGTGGCTGGAGCTGTCGTGGGGTTCTTTGTGGCCTACTTTATGTACCACTTCTACCCAACAGCAAGTGCAGTCATGCATCCCTAGGTTAGGTACCCGTAGATTTTTGCTCTAGCTTTGAACGATATACACAACCTGTAACGAAATTACTAGTTATTGGCAAACCTTGTCAGGTGGCAGGCAGTCCTTCCTCACCGGGAAGGCATCCAGCTACGGTAGATTTGATGCAGCTTTCCTGCAGTGTGCTCTTGTACCTGAATGATGGCCAGGAAGGCATCAAGGATGATGTGTACACATATGTGTCAAACATGTGTAGTTATCATGTTCGTATAGACTGTATAGGGTCACCTTCTAGAGAGTACAACATTTAGGTATATGTTTGTGTACTCTCTCTCTCACATTATTCAATTCTAGGTTTAATATGGTATCACGAGTAGGTTTCGACCCCCCCCCCCCCCCCCCCCCCCACCTACCGCTTCCGCTCCTCCCGTCGCGTCTCCTAGCCTCGCCTCGCCCCTCCTGAGCCCAGTCGCGACCCCTCCCCCTAGCCCCGTCGCGCCCCTTCCAGGGCCTCGTAGCGCCCCTCCAGGCCCCGTCGCGCCCCCCTTCCAGGGCTTCGTAACGCCCCTCCAGGCCCCCGTCGCGCCCCTCCAGGGCTCTGTAGCGCCCCTCCAGGGCCCCGTCGCGCCCCCTAGCGCCCCTCCTGGGCCCCGTAGCGCCCCTCCAGGGCCCCGTCGCGCCCCTTCGCGCCCCTCCTGGGCCCCGTAGCGCCCCTCCAGGGCCCCGTCGCGCCCCGTAGCGCCCCTCCTGGGCCTCGTCGCGCCCCTCCTGGGCTTCGTAGCGCCCCTCCTGGGCTTCGTAACGCCCCTCCCAGGCCCCGTCGCGCCCCTCCTGGGCTCCGTAGCGCCCCTACTGGGACCCGTCGCGCCCTCCCTGGGCCCTGTAGCGCCCCTCCTGGGCCCCGTCGTGCCCCTCCCAGGCCCCGTCGCGCCCCTCCTAGGCCCGTAGTGCCCCTCCTGGGCCCGTAGCGCCCCTCCTGGGCCCCCCATTGCGCCCCTCCTGGGCCCCGCCGCGCCCCTCCTGGGCCCCCATTGTGCCCCTCCTGGGCCCGTAGCGCCCCTCCTGGGCCTGTTGCGCCCCTCCTGGGCCCTGCCGCGCTCCTCCCTGGGCCCCGTATCCACCCTCCTGGGCCCCGTCGCCCCTGCTCGGCCCCGTCGCCCCAGCTCGGCCCTGTCGCGGCCTCTCGGCCCCGTGGCGCCCGCCCTGCCCCTGTCGCAGCTGCCCGGCCCCTGTCGCACCTGCCCGGCCCCGTCGCCCCCGCCCGGCCCTGCTGTGTCCTGCCCGGCCCCGTCGCTGCCGCCCGGCCCTGTCGCTGCCGCCCGGCCTCGTAGCTGCCGCCCGGCCCTGTCGCTGCCGCCCGGCCTCGTAGCTGCCGCCCGGCCTTGTCGCTGCCGCCCGGCCCCGTCGCAGCCGCCCGGCCCCGTCGCAGCCGCCCGGCCCCGTCGCAGCCGCCCGGCCCCGTCGCAGCCGCCCGGCCTCGTAGCTGCCGCCCGGCCTTGTCGCTGCCGCCCGGCCCGTCGCAGCCGCCCGGCCCCGTCGCAGCCGCCCGGCCCCGTCGCGCCTGCCCGGCCCCGTCGCGCCTGCCCGGCCTCGACGTGCCTGCCCGGCCCCGTCGCGCCTGCCCGGCCCCGTCGCGCCTGCCCCGACCCTCCATACTTCCTGGTACTGTCCCCCGTTCCCCGCACCACTTTGCACCCTCCTGCACTTTCCTGCCCCGCCTTGCACCGCATTGCACCTCACTGAACCGCACTGACCGCACTGCACCGCACTGAACCGCACTGCACCGCACTGCATCGCACTGCACCGCACTGGACCGCACTGCACCGCCCTGCACCGCACTGCACAGCACTACACCGCACTCCACTGTCCTCCACTGCCCCTCATGGCTGCTGAGCTTCGTTTTGATGCTGAGGGTCAGCCTCTGGAGTTCGAGGCGTGGTTGGCTGACCTTCGCCGCCACCTCACTGGTCAGCGGCAGGACGGCCACCCGCTTTCTGCACACCTAGACGGTATGCTCCCCTGCCCTGACCCCCCTGCTGTGCTGCCTGCTGATCCCACGCCCGCTGAGCGCGAGTCCACTGCCGCCGCTGCCCTTGCCCGCTCTGTCTGGCTTTCCCGCGATGCCCTTGCTCAGCTCGCCATTAGCAATGCCCTCCCCCCCCTTGAGCGCCCTCGCTTTAGAACCATTACTACCGCCCAGGCCTACCTCGATGCTGTCATCAAGCGCTATTCTACCCCTCCTGCTGCCTCAGTGGGTCGCCTGATCCTCCCCCTGCTCTTTCCTGACCTGGCGTCCTTCCCCACTGTCTCTGACCTCGCTGCCCACCTGCGCTCGATAGATGAGGCCTGGCGCGCTGCCTGCACTGATGCACAGCTTAGAGTCCACCAGCCTCCCATGACCTCTACCCTCTACCTCCTTGCCACCCGCCTCCCTGACCGCCTTGCCGCCGCCCGCGACCAGTTCCTTAGCATCCACCCTGCTGCTCTCACCCTCACCGACTTTGTTGACACCCTGACTGCCATAGAGACTCGTCACCGCTCCATAGCCCTGGCGAGCGGTACAGTACCGGTCCCTATCTTTCAGGGTTGTGCCCCCGCTCAGTGTACCTTCTCCGACGGCTCTGTCGCTGTGGCTGAGACTGCTGCTGCAGTGCAGTCCCGCTCGGGGAAGGGCCGCCGCCCCAAGGTTGGGAGCGGCGGAGGTGGCGGGGGTGCGGGTGGGGGTAGTGGTGGAGGCGGGTCGTCCGGTGCCGGTGCGGACGTGGGGACCCTGCCCGGTCCAGCTGCCCCGCTGCCTCCACCGTTGCAGCAGCCGCAGCAGCAGCAGCCTCCGCACCAGCCGCAGCAGCAGCAGCCTCCGCACCAGCCGCAGCAGCCGCCGCAGACGAGGCCGGCGAGTGCTCTCCCGCCTGGGTGGCCTGGAGCTGGTGGTGGTCGTGCGCGTGGTGGTGCACCGGGTGGTGGTTCTGGAGGCGGGCCCTGTCAGTACCAGATCCAGACCGGTCCTCGCCGCGGCTTCGTTTGCGGTAAGATCGGTCATTCCACTCCTTGCTGTTTTCGTCGTCTGGACGACCTGTTCCGCCAGCGCTTTGGCCCGGCGCCCGACCTCCCGGACTGGCACAGCTTGCTTAGGCGTAGCATTCGGATTTTTGACTTGGACATGGATGCCATTGTAGCAGCCTTGCATGTGATGTATGCCGATGACTCTAGTGTGCTTCCCTCTTATTACCCCGTGTTGCCTAGTGTAGCTGTGCCTAGCGTAGACTCCCCTGCTGCGTCAGGCGTAGGATCTCCTGCTTTGCTTAGCCTCGGTGCTTCCACCGCTTCACTGTCGCCCCGCGCGACTGCTGCGCTTTCCTTCACCTTGGACTCTGGCGCCTCCCGGTGTTTCTTCCGCGACTCCACGACGCTGACGCCGCTGCCTGTTCCTGCTGCAGTTACTCTTGCAGACCCCTCCGGTGGTCCCGTCTTTGCCCGCAGTTCCACCTCCCTTCCCTGTCCGGCGGTTCCTTGAGGTTCGCTCACCAGTCTGCATATCCCCTCGTTCTCCAGGAACCTAGTTGGTGTCGGCTGCCTCCAGGACCTTGGCGTCACCACTACGTTCCCTGGTCACGAGCGGTATGCTGTCTGTACCGAGGCCGCCACTGGTGCCCCCCTTACCACTTTCCCCCGGGACCCGGTGTCCGGCCTGTTCACACTTGCCACCGCGACGTCCCCGGCTGGGTCTTCCCCCCAGGTAGCTGCGTCCACCCAGGTTGCTGCTGCGTGCTCCTGTCGGTCCCTCGCTCATCCGACTCTCCTTTGGCACCACCGCCTTGGTCACCCTGCACTCCCGCGTCTGCGTCACATGTCCCAGCACGGTCTCGTCCTTGGTCTCCCCGGTTCGTTCCCTGAGTTTCCCTCCTCCCCCGCCCCACCGTGCACGCCTTGTGTCGAGGGCCGGCTCCGCCGTGCCCCTCACTCCTCCTCTTTTCCCCCTACCACCGCACCCCTGCAGACTCTGCACATGGACGTCTGGGGCCCAGCCCCGGTCCATGGACCGCGTCGCGAGCGCTTCTTCCTAGTGCTTGTCGACGACTTCACACGTTACACCACCGTCTTTCCCCTGGAGCGGAAGGCCGACGTGCCTGACGTTCTCATCCCCTGGCTTGTCTCTGCTCGTCTCCACCGCGGTCTCCCTGCCTTGCGCCTCCACTCCGACCGGGGTGGCGAGTTCGCCTCAGGTGTCCTTGGTCGCTTCTGTCGTGCGGAGGGCATCACCCAGACGTTTACCCTGCCGGACTCCCCGCAGCAGAATGGGGTCGCTGAGCGACGCATCGGTTTGGTCATGGAGGTGGCTCGCACCTCCATGATCCACGCCGGTGCACCCCATTTTCTGTGGCCGTTCGCCGTGCGCTACGCCGCTCACCAGCTTAACCTGTGGCCGCACCCCCAGCGGCCGCAGGTTTCGCCGACCCTTCTGTGGACCGGGTCCCCTGGTGACGCGTCTGCGTTCCACGTCTGGGGCTGCCTTGCTCACGTTCGTGCCTCTGGCACGGACAAGCTCACTGCCCGCACCCTCCCCTGCGTCTTCCTCGGTTTCCCCCTTGACGCGTCCGACTGGCACTTCTACCACCCGCCGTCTCACCGTTTCTTTCACTCTCGCGACGTCACCTTTGACGAGTCCGTCTCCTTCTTCCGCCGCTTTCCCCACCGTGGTCCCCCGGTTACTCCCCCCCTGTTCCTGGTTCCTCCCTCCCTGGTGGCCCCTGCCCCTCCCCCCCCCCCGCCCCCCCGTCCGGCCCCCTCTGGTGTGTCTCACGTCACCCCCCTCCCGTCGGTCGTTCCGGTCGACGAGTCTTCTGACTTTGGTAGTCCTTTGGCGCAGTCCTTGCCGTCTGTCCCTCCCCCGGTGTCTCCTCCTCCACCGCCTCCGCAGCCGCCGTCGCCGCAGCTGCTGCAGCCGTCGTCTCCGCCGCCGCCGCCGTCGAGGCCGTCGCTGCAGCCGCCGCCGCCGCCGCCGCCGTCGTCGCTGCCGCTGTTTGTGGACTCTGGGGGTGCTGGAGTTGAGGTGGGTACTCGTCCCGGGGCTCCTGTCGTGGCTTGTCCCCGCGGGCCTGGGGGTGGTACCGGTGCTGGCGGTGTTTCGGGCTCTGGGGGTGTCCCTTCTGGGGGTGCCGGTGTGGAGGGTTCGGGAGGTAGCCGTCGCGCAGCTTGTGGCCCTGGCGTTGGTGTTGTGTCGCCGCAGCAGCAGTCCCCGCCGGTGTCCGCCCTCCGTCTGCTCGGCCTTCCGTCCCCTGACCCTGCACCTGTTCCTCTCCGGCCGTCTCCCCCTCTTCCCGTCTACGGCCCCGTGTTCCCTCCGCCGGACTCGTCCCCGGCTCGTTTTCCCCCTCGTTCCCCACCCGTGTCCCCTCCTCTGTCTCCCGACCCGACGCCGCCCTCTCACGTCTGGTCTCGCCGCCCCTCCCGTGCTCGTCCTGTCTCCCCCGTCCCGCGCACTCACCCTATGTTGCTCCGCTCCCACGCGTCTCGTCCTCCCCTCCTCCCGTCTCCTCCTCCGTCCTCTCTTGTCGTTGCGTCTCCTCCTCTGTCTGACTACTTTCGTGCCGCTCGTCCTCTTGTTCCTCGGGTCCTTGCCTCTCTCGTTACCGACCCGTCTGTTCCAGTCTCGTGCCTTGACGCCCTTGTCGCTGCGGTCGCTGACTTCGCCTCTACCCGCCGCCTTGACTCCGCCTCCGCTCTGGTCTCTGACCCTGCCTGTCCTCCGTCTGTCGGGGGTGCTCCTGCCCTCGGCAGTGACGTCCTGGAGGACCGCCAGTTTGAGCTTGCTTTCCTGTCCGAGGCTGCTCCCCATCTCTGTTCCATGCTGCTAGTCCCTGAGGGTGACCCAGACGCTTTTGACATCCCGACCCCTCGTACTTACGCTGAGGCGGTTTCGGGACCTTGGGCCTCTCAGTGGATAGCTGCCATGGAGCAGGAGATGGCATCTTGGAGATCCACCGGCACCTTCGTCGACGCAGTTCCCCCACCTGGGGTGAACGTGGTCGATGGCCGTTGGCTCTTCAAGGTGAAGCGCCCTCCTGGAGAGCCGCCTGTGTTCAAGGCGCGTTACATGGCTAGAGGCTTCAGTCAGCGCGAGGGGGTGGACTTCTTTCAGACTTTCGCTCCTACCCCGAAGATGACTACTCTTAGGGTTCTGCTACACGTAGCGGCTCAGCGTGACTACGAGCTTCACTCCCTCGACTTCTCCACTGCCTTTCTTCAGGGCAGCCTTCACGAGCAAGTCTACCTGCGTCGTCCTCAGGGCTTTACTGGCACCTTCCCCCCTGGGACCCAGTGGCTTCTGCGGCGCCCAGTCTACGGCCTGCGCCAGGCGCCTCGTGAGTGGCACGACACGCTGCGTGCTACTCTTGCTGACCTGCAGTTCTTTCCGTCCTCTGCAGACCCCTCGCTCTTCGTTCGTGCTGGCTCGACTCCGTTCTACATCCTCGTCTACGTAGACGACCTGGTCTTTGCCACAGCTGACAGGGACGCACTGGCCTCCGTGAAGGCAGAGCTGCTGAAGAGACACACCTGCACTGACCTTGGAGAGCTGCGCCGTTACCTTGGCTTGCAGATCTCCAGGGACAGAGCCGCCCGCACCATCACCCTGACTCAGTCACACTTGGTGCGCCAGGTCCTTCAGAGGTTCGGCCTTCAGTTCTCCTCCGCACAGCCCACCCCTCTTCCTCTGGACCACAGACTCTCCGCTCCAGTTCCTGAGGAGTCGGTAGATCCCAGTGGTCCTTACGCTGAGCTAGTGGGTTGCCTCATGTACCTGATGACTTGCACTCGCCCAGATCCCGCATACCCTCTCAGCATCCTGGCTCGTTTTGTGGCCACAGGCAGACACCGACCTCAGCACTGGTCTGCCGCTAAGAGGGTTTTGCGTTATCTTGCAAGTACATCGGGCATGGGGTTAGTGCTAGGCGGACGCAGGCCAGTGGTCCTTACTGGACACACAGACGCTTCTTGGGCAGACGACGCCGAGACGCTCAGGTCTTCCCAGGGCTACTGCTTTAGCCTTGGCTCAGGTGCTGTCTCGTGGAGAGCTACCCGCTCCTCGTCGGTTGCCCAGTCCAGCTGTGAGGCTGAGATCTACGCCGGTGCCATAGCGGCACAGGAGCTCCGCTGGCTGACCTTCTTGCTCACTGACTTAGGTGAGCGGCCTAGCTCTGCCCCGGTCCTGTACGCTGACAATAGGGCCATGATTCTCCTGTGTCAGGAGCCTCGACTCGAGGGCAGAGCGAAGCACATCCAGCTGCGGTACTTCCTCCTGCGCGAGCTACAGCAGCGGCGCCAGGCTCGCGTAGTACACTTGGCCTCCGGTGCCAACACAGCTGATATCTTTACGAAGGCGCTTGCGCCTAAAGATCATCAGCGGCACTGTTTACAGCTTGGTCTGGTTCCTGTAGTCTCTCACTTACTCGGGCCTTGACTTTGTACTGTCGTATATATATATATGTATACACTCAGACTGGACTTGTGTCCTCTCACAGTGGTTGGACTAGTAGTGCCGCCCTGTACTCGTTCTTGCCTTGTCTGTACTCCTTCTGACTGGTCTTTTAGACCCTTGTCTCAGAGGCTGGACTAGTAGTGCCACCCTGAGCTACTTGTCTAGAACATTCCCCTATGCAGTCCAGGGGGTGTGTCAAACATGTGTAGTTATCATGTTCGTATAGACTGTATAGGGTCACCTTCTAGAGAGTACAACATTTAGGTATATGTTTGTGTACTCTCTCTCTCACATTATTCAATTCTAGGTTTAATAATATGGGCTCTGTGTGAAGACAGAGGGCATGCTGGCTTATGGTGGGAATGTCCACATGCTCGTCTGTTCTGTCAGCGCAAGCCAAGCAAAGCAGCCTCCAGCATTGTGCGCGCTTCATGTGGAACTTGCCGAGTGGGAAGAGCGCAGGTATTCCATGATGGGCACTCCAACGTGACTGCTGGCATACAAAAGGAGACATAAAGTGGCATGATCAACAATGCTGCCACTGGACGTGGAGTCCAGTCTAAACATTACACTAACATGTCGAGAGTGGGATTTGAACCCACGCCCTTTCGGACTGGAACCTTAATCCAGCGCCTTAGACCAACTCGGCCATCTCGACGAATACAGGGGAAAATGTAATGTACTACTGTAAAGTAATTTTTGCTCATCCATTTTCCTTCCACCGTTTGACGCGTTTCAGTTCCATCTACGATGTGGAAGCGACTGGCGGACGCCGCTTCCGCCGCGTCGCGACGAGGTGCGCCCATCGCTCGCACTCCTCTGTCGTTCTATGCCCACTTCCCCGCCACACCGCTGCGGGCAGCAACGTCCGCAGGCGGTCCTATCCCGCACCTAGGGTGACTCATCCCCCTCGTGCGTCCCCCTTCCTTGTCCCTCGTCCCCCCCCCGTACCCCTTCCGGCTCCCAGCGGTGGCATGGCGCCTGGAGGAACTGCAGCCGCCGAGGGAGCGCGTGCTGTTCGACTTCGCGAGGGGGGAGCATGGAATGATGGCAGCTTGGCGTGTGTATGCTGACGACATCTACGGCGGTGAGTCAGTGTGTGTTGATGAGGTGGTGAGAGGGTGTGCGTAGAGGTGCGTTGATCTGTGTTGAAGCGGTGAATGAGTCCCTTCTCTTGGCTCCTTGACTTTCCCTTCTCCTTGACTTGGTCTAATCCCCTTACTCCCTATTCAATTCGTCTCTCATCCTGCTCCTCCCTTTCCCAATCTGCGACCCTCAGGTTCGTCAACAGCCACCCTCGCTCACTCCACGTCCGGCAATGCCGAGCCTGCTGGTTCGGGCAGGGAGCGTTTGGGAATGAGCAGCAACGACCGTGGGCATGAGCATGGGCATGAGCATGGGCATGATGCGATGAGGGGAAGCGATGGAGCGGATGGGAGGACTGATGGTGGCGGCATGACGCACGTCTCCTCCAAGCCACGAGACGTGCGTCGCCAGCACCGTCACATCGCCCCGCCCTCGTCTTTTGGTAAGCTCCTCCTTCCCCTCTCACTCGCTCCCTCTCCGTCCTCGCTCCTAAGTATCTTCGCTCTTTCTCGCTCGCCCCCCAACCAAGGTCAAGATTTTATTTTCCTTTCTTGCTGCCGGCCGATGCCTCCCGCTCCCCTCCAGTGGTGTTTTCAGGCAGCCTGTCCAGCCAGTTGCAAGAGGAGCCAGAGGACCAAGGGGGAGGGGTAGGTGGAGCAAGCGGGGGGAGGCTGCTGAGGGGAGGCTTTGCTGGCATTCGCACGATAGAGGTGAGTGAGATACTCAGTTGAATCGTCTATGGGGCCGGGGAACTGGAGCGACTTTTGAGTCAACTCAAAAGTCACCTGTGGTGCCGGGGAACTGGAGCACTCCCTCCCCTACGCCCAATCGAAATGTAACTGCTCCTCCAGTTCCCCGGCTTTCCCAATCTTCTTCCCATTGCTCACTTCCACGCCCCTACTCATAAACCCCTTTCCTCTCTCCCAACCCCTCTTCCCGCCCTCCCTCCCTCCCCCTGCACCACCTGGCACGCGCCCCGGTGCAGACTCACCCCTCCTGCCAGCACGACCTGGACGCCTTCTCCTCGCTCTTCACCCCCCTCGCTGCTCATTGCCTCCCCACTCTCCCAGGCCCACGCGTCCTGCCAGCACGACCTCGACGCCTTCTCCTCGCTGCACCTCCTCATGCGGGGCGACGGCCGCACCTACCTCACCACGGTAGGGTTACCATGTTACACACACGTGGCTCTGTGCCCTGCCTTCCGCTCTTCAAGTTCAGACCTGGAGCCCTGCCTTCCCTCTGAGTCCCCTCATCCCTCTGAGTCCCCTCATCCCTCTGTGGCCCCTCATCCCTCTGTGGCCCCTCATCCCTCTGTGGCCCCTCATCCCTCTGTGGCCCCTCATCCCTCTCCCATGTTTCTCCCGTTCTGCTCCCCCCTCTGATCCGACCTCCTGCCTCTTCCCACCCCTCCCCACTCTCTCGCACACTCTCCCTCTGTCTCCTTCCCTCGCCTCTCCTATCTCCCCCCTTCCCAGCTTCGCACGGAGGGGTGGGTGGGAGGGCCAGCGGGGAGTGAGGAGAACACGTGGCAGGCGTTTCTGCCTTCACCCCGGGGGCAATGGAGAGTGGTCAAGGTGAGGGGGTGTGGGATGGAGAGTGCGGTGGGTGAGATGGTGTGTAAGAAGAGTTTGCTCAATGGGTCTGTCCCTCTTCCCCCCATTCGTACACCCCATTATCCTCCCCTCTCCCTTCCTCCCCTCTCCCATACGCCCCTCAGATCCCCCCTGTCCAGCTACAGCCTCACTTGGAAGGGCCGGGTGGTGGGGGAAGCAGTTTCTTCTCTCCCTCCGCTCCCCACGCTAGCTCCCCCCCCTGCCCTCCATAACCCCCGCTCTCTCCTTCCATCTCCCTCCCGCCCCTCAGATCCCCCTGTCCAGCTACAGCCTAACATGGAAGGGGCGGGTGGTGGGGGGCGGTGGGGGAAGGCGCGACTGGGGCAGAGACAGAGGGGGGGTAGGGGGAGCAGGGAGGATGCAGATGAATGCGCGGAGGGTGGTGGGCATGGGGGTATCAGTCAACGTGAGCACCCCTCCAGTGCACTCCACCGCCACTGCTGCCATCCATCCTGACCTCTCCACATCACCCTTTGCTGGCACGACTGCTAGCTCGGAACCCAGTGGTGCTGAAGGTGCTGCTGCTGCTGGTAGTGGTGCTGCTGGCGCTGGTGATGCTGGTGCTGACGATTCTTCGTCAGCTGCTGCCGACATTTTTTCTGACGCATTCCCATCGCATGGCGAGGGCCCGTTCAGACTTGAGGTGGCGTGGGTCAAGGCTGTCAGGGACGGGGCTTGATGCAATAACTACAGTGGAGATAACTTGTGAAGAAGTTTTTGCAAAAGAAACTCAACTCACCTCGATACCAATGTGCAAATACTGTACCACATGTCTTATTGGAATCATCACAACACAACACCTGTATGACATAGTTTTTATCTGGATGCAGCATTGTTCCTGTAGCCACTAGCCATTATTTCCCTAAATCTACCGGAATGGTCAGACAGGACCATGGGATTGCCTTCCCAGGGATTGCCGAGCACCACCAGCCAGGGCACACTTGGTGAAGGGCCCGGATGCTGCTGCTACGTATGCCTGACAGCACCTTGCAGGCAAATGTAGGTGTGATTGATGAAAGGTCACATGCTCAGCGCACGCTGCTGAATGCCTAGGGATTGCCTTGCGCTGTGGACCAGAGGCCAGAAGGTGAAGGGTTGGGATGAATAGTTGTGGGAGAGTGGTGAGTGCCATGCAGCGGTGGCAACTTGCAAGGGTCACATGGGCAGCTGGGGCCGTTGGATGCCTAGGGATTGCCGCGCGATGTCGACCAGAGCTCGGAAGGTGAACGGCTCGGAGGCTGCTATTTCGGAGAGCACCTTGCGGTTCAGGTGGATGTTGGATTCGTGCATGCCGTGGATGAACTCGCTATAACGCACCTGCTTGTAACGGGGATGGAAGGGGGTGTTGGACACGGGTATGGGATAAGGGTACTGGGAATGGGGGCTTAGGATACAACGAGTGGGAGGGGGGGGAAGGGGGGGGGGGGAGGGGGGGAAGTAGAAGGAGGGGAGTGTCAAGCCCTTAACTCATCCACTCGCGTTTCTCACACAACGGGGTGCCAGCGCACTCACTCACCCCGTACTGTCGCGCGCCCGCATTGACGCGTTCGATCGCCAGCCCGCGCATGTCGCGCTTCTTGGTGCGCCGGTCGCGGTACGCGTACGTGAGCGCCTTCTCGACGCGCGGCTTGGCGGCGCGGATGCAGTTCTTCGCGCGCCCGCGGAACCCCTTCGCCAGCTCTAGGATCGTCGCCTTGTTCATGACGGCGGGGTGTGACTATATCGAGAGTGGTTGTATCGAGCGTGAGAGTGGTTGGGGGTGGTTGTATGGAGAGTGGTGATGATGGGGGGTGACTATAAGGAGCAGTAAGGTGCTGGATATTAGGGTTTGCGTGGAGGGTGTGGGACCGGACGCTATAGAGGTGGAGAACGGGATCTGGGCTGTGACGACGCGAACGGGGAATCTGGCACAGCTCTCTAGACGCGAGACTGCAGGCGCTAGTACGCCAAGACACTAAGGCGTGTACACCGAAGTCAACTTTCGTGTGGTCGTGACTCGTGATAGCCTGATAGGTCCGTTTGGCGTGAAACAATATTCCCATCAACACTTCTTCGCATACAAGAACGACTCAGTTCTAGTTTCAGTTTCAGCATTCATTTACACAATCGATAAGACTTTTAACGGATAAACTACTGTACTCTACCTTGAACGAAACATCGCTTGGCGCGTTGAAGCGGAATGAACGAATCGAATCTCTGCTGACGCGATTTCGCCACAGGCCAGCACGTGCAGCTGCTGCGGCCAGACTTGGCCTGTCGCCCGCCATACTCCACGTCGACTCGACTGAACCGGCTTTTCCCAAACCAAGCCGCTATGTTCCGAACCAGATGTGCACAAACCTGCACCAGATGTGGTGAGGCTCGGCATGCAGGGAGCCGCCAAGGCTGACAACAGCCAATCATTGTGCGATCTGCGAAACATATTTCAGGCACGGGTAACCCCAGTCTGTCGCTCTGAGCTGGCGCTGTTCGCTGATATCACATCTCCCTCCCCATCCCATGTTGTGAGAGCAAGGGATTCGTCAATCCCGTCCGTTCAACTATTGATCTTCGAAGCAATCGACGACGCAGATCCCATCGTGCCCAGCTTCGCTTGTCCCTCCCGCATTCATCATTTCTTGCTCGACGTTGCGCCATGGCTGCTGTCGATGTTGCAACTGCTGATGTCTCTGTTATTCCTGCTCTCTACTTGCACTGCCTCATTGCCCTTCCTCGCTTGACGTCTCTTGCTATACTGTACTTCGTTTTGCTTACTACCTAGCGTTATCAGCAATCCCTGATCTCACTCGCTGGGAAATAATATCGTTCTCAATCGTAACGTCCGTTTATGGCGTAGTCTCTCGATTCCGTGTTTTTGTAATGGCTTCCCGCGGATCCTCTTACATTGGAATTCGTCATGCGCCGCCCTTTCGGCGTGGCTCTGGCCGCGGGGCTCCAAGTACGGCTAGGTCAGCGCGGCACCCGATAATGCTTTCGCGAACAAGACATATCAGAACCTTCGTGAGCTGCTGTAATGCGGATCCCAGGCTAGGCTAGCACTAGCCCTAGCACTAGCACTGGCACTAGTAACTCGCATCCCCGTTCTAGTAGTCGTCTCGACACAACCATGGGGCAGGCGAATTCCACCTTCGAACGCCCGGGCTCGCCCCCCTGCACGCCCGCCGGCCGCTACCCGCCGCTCTTTCCGCCGTCCCCTTCCGCCGCGCTGCCCTCCCCGCGCCTGAGCACTCCGCGCGCGTGGCACCCGGACGTGGTGCGCGCGGTGTTCTCCGACAGCGACTGCGTGCACGACGCCGTCTCGGGTCTCCTCACGCAGTACGTCGAGAAGATCGTCGGCGCCACGGACGCCAACTACCGCGACCCGGACTCCATAGAGGCCATCTTCTTAGCCGGTCCCGCCACCGGCAGTGGCGGCGGCGGCGGTGGCGGCGGCGGTGGAGGTGGCGGCGGTGGAGGTGGGGGGGGACAGCTCCGCCTCGCGACCGCGGCGGCGGTCAGCGCAGGCGCAGCTGCGCCAGTGGGTAATTGGCCCCCAGATCCCTCCAGACGATGTTCCCCGCCACTCGCCCAGACTGCTGGGGAAGAAGCCTCCACCGGCTCCTCAGCTGCTGCGTTTGTAGTCGCCGCAGCTGCGGGGGACGGTAGCGCTACAGGCGGCGCTACAGGCGGCGCTACAGGCGGCGCTGCAGGCGCTACAGGCGCTACAGATGCAGCCCCTAAATCCGCGTCGCAGCAGCAGCCGTCGCTGCATCCGCTGAAACGTCTGTCGAGCCGCCGGCTGGTGGCGGCGCCCGTGGCGCGCGCGCGCGAGGCGGCGACGAGCGAGGCGCTGGAGCAGCTGGAGGGCGCGATGCGACAGCTGGCGCGCGCCGAGTACGACTGGCTCGTGAGCAAGATCGCGGAAGCTTCCGCGATGGCGGCTGGGAATAAGGAGATAAGCAGCGCCAATAGCGGCGGGGGGGGCGGAGGCGGAGGCGGAGGGGGAGGCGGAGCGGGGGGAAGGAGCGGGCGGAGCATTGCGGGGATTGGGAGCATCAGTCAGCGGTTTACCCGGAGCAGCAGCTCTAGGTCCGGGTTTGGTCCGGCGAGCTCCCGAACCGGGAATGCAGGCTCGGTGCCCCCGCCACACCCATTCCCCCGCAGCTCGTCGCAGAAACCAGGGCACAGTCGCTCGCTGTCGCTGGGGCAGGCGCTGTCGCACAGCCACGCGAGCAGCCAATCAGATGCGAGCGCGAAACCGTCCCACAGTCGCTCACTGTCGCAGGGGCACTTGAGTCTAGAAGCGGCGAAGGTAGAAGAGGTGTTCGTGGTGGGGCTGGCCATGTGGGTCGAATTCTGGAAGCAGTGGGCCAAACCTGCCAGCCACGGCGCTGCCGGAGCTGCAGCCTCGGCGCTAGGCTCGGGATTAGGGTCGGCGGCGCAGGGGGGGAAGGTGGGGAGGGGGGCGGGGCAGTGGGGGAGTAAAGGCGCGGAGGGGGGGCTGAGGAGCCTGAAGAAGCGGAGAGAGAGGATGAGGCGGAAGGAAGGGGGAAAGGGCGGGGAAGGGGGAAAGGGAGGGGGAGGGGGAGGGAAGGATGGGGGCGTGTTGGGAAAAGAGGGGAAGGAGAGGGTTTTGGGTGGAAGTTCCGTGCTGGAGGTGCAATTGGACGGGTTAAGTTGCAAGAAACCCTTGGAAGAAGGGACGTTTTTCTCAGTTGACCTTGATGATGGGGATGAGAAGGCGGGGAGAGGGGAAGCGGAGGGGGGAATGGTAAGTGTTGATTTAAGTGGTGGGTGCGAGGAGGACGAGAGGGAAAGAAGGGGAGGGAGTGGAAGGGAGGGGGGTTCTGGAAGCTTCAGGGAAGCTTCTGGCAAGGATAATCAGGAGGGCAATCGACCTAATGGGGGGAAGCATGAGGTAAGGCAAAAGAGCCAACGGGTTAAATTTATTGCTCCACTGACTGTTTATAACTCTTCCAGCCGAGAAGTAGAGACCATCGACAGTAACGGATCCCTCTCTAACGAGGATAGCCAGAGCCCGGACAGCAGAGGCTCCAGCGGCGAAAGCTTTGAAAACACCGACTATGCGTCTAACGCGACAGGCCATTATAACGAGTACAACGAGTATGTCGAGTACACTCTCAGCAGCAGCAGCTACACTCCCACGAGCTACACCTCTGGCGGCAGCAGCGGCACGCCATTCGCAGCAGCCTGCGCCCCCCACGGCCCCTATGGGGTCCACGTGGCGGAGCTAGAGGGCGACCTGAGGGCTGAGGCGGGCCGGCAGCTGCAGGAGCAGCTCGTGGCGGCCCTGCTTGACGGCACAGAGGGCGCGCTGGGGGAGGGGCTATCTGGGGGGGGTGCTGCAGCTGGCGGTGGTGGTGGTGGTGCGTTTGGTTTTCGCAGCAGTAGCATCAGCAGCACCAACAGAGGCAGCTTCAGCAGGAGCAGCAGCTTCGGCAACAGCTTCGGCAACAGCTTGGGTAGCGGGTTCGGTGGCTACAGCAGCGCGGGGGAAGTTGGGATCGGCAGTGGGCTTGGCTGTAGCAGCTACAACCCAGCTCTGGACGTGGTGAAACGGCTCAGAAGCGCCTCCTTCTCCTACTCCTCCTCTTACTCTCACGCCGTGGACCAGCACTCTGCTAACAGCAGCCCTGCAGGCACGCCCACCCCCCCTCCCCCCCCTCTGCAGCACACGGACGTGGTTCGGATATTAGGCTTGGCAGCCGCAGTGTCGAACCACATGCCTGTGAGTGCCGCTGTGTGCGTGCTCCGGCTGCTCGATAGGCTCGGGCGGCAGGATTGGTTGACGGGAGGAGGAGCGGGGAGTGCAGGGAAAGGGGGGAAGGGGAGGGGGAGAGGTGGGGGGAGGAGAGGGCGGGGCGCGGCGGTGGCTGCAGCTGCTGCTAAGGCTGCTGCTGCGTCGGCGGCGAGAGCAGAAGCATTAAGAAGAGGAGGGGGGATGTGGGACGGTGGTGGTGTGAGTGGGGGGGGGAGAGGAGGGTTGTTAGAAGATGAGGAGGAGGACGAGGAGGGGGAGGAGGAGGGGGAGGAGGAGAGGGTGGGAGGGAGAAACAGTGATGGCGGTGATTGTGATGATGGCATTAATGGTGGTGATTCCGAGGCAGCGGCGGAGGCTCGGGAGGCGCTGGATCGGGAGATGGAGGCTCGGGAGTGCCGCATGTTCGTGCTGCAGTGCCTCCTAGACCTGGTAGACGCGCTTGCCCTCAAATGCAGATTAAGACTAAGACCAGCGGGGTCCAGTGCATATGTAGATGGGCTGGACGGGATGGGGGGGATGGGGGGGCTGAGAGGGATGAATGGGGTCACAGGGATGGAAGGGTATGGAGAGGGGGTGTACGGAGCGGTAGCGACCCCAACAGGGAGTGTGACAGTTATGAAAGGGTTTCAGGACCAGGAAGAGTTGGCAGCAGCATCAACGGCATTCCAGAAGCAGAAGTCTTGGAGCATCAAGGACTCTGCTGCTGCTGCATTCTACAGAAACTCGTCAACTGCTGCTGGAGGGAGAGCAGCAGCAGGGTTCTGTGAGTCTGATGACAGCGCCAACAGCAATGGGTTCAACCCCTCTCTCTTCCAACGCCAACCCTCCTGGGTGGGAGGAAAGCCTGCTGCTGCTCTCGGCGCCTCTGCTGCTCCCTACCCGCCGGGTCCTGCGCTCTCCTCCTCACTGCGCCGCCAGCCCTCGTGGTGTGGCACTGCGGCGTTCCAGCGCCAGCCGTCCCTCGGCTTCCGCAGCAAAATCGGCGCTCTGTTTCTGGACGAGGAGAGAGAGGCAGGAGGAGGGGCGTGGGGGGAAGGAGGGGAGGGAGGGGAGGAGGGTGGCATGGGGGATCTGTCCAAGGTGTGGCGGCGAAGGGGGACGATAGGCTCAGGTGCGGGCCGGGCCGGCAGCATATCTGTTTCCAACGCCCCCCCTGCTCCTGTGCGCCGTGCCACCGCTGGGGCTGCTATCGCTACTGGTGGTGCTGCTGGTGCTGCTTTTGCTTCATCTGCTACTGTCTCCTCCTCCGCCTCCTGTTTCTTCGGCGCCACGCGCCTCACAGAGCTCGCTGAGCTCGCACTGGTCCGCTCCATCCTCCATGCTCCACCCCTCCCAAACACCCCAGGCTTTCCCAACGCCCCACCTCTTTCAAACACCTCATCTGTCCACGTCTCTCAGAAGCTAAGACAGCTGGACTCGCTACTAACCACCCACGCGCTCGGCCCCGGGATTCTCGCCCTCGTTTTGGCGGGGGAAGTTGCGGAGCTACCCCATTTGACCCAGGACGATCTCTGGCTCTTAGCCGATCGTGCAGACGAGATGGGGTGCATGGAAGCCGCTATAAGAATTTCTCTTAGAGCCGCCGCTGTCGCTTATGACGATCTTGACACTGTAGCAGATACGGTCCGGGTGGCGATGGCCCCTAATGGGACGGAGCCAGTGCCGCAGAGGATACACAGGCTGCTCGGGGCGGCGCATTTTGGACTGACGCACGCGCCATCGGGCGGCGTGCGGTGGGAGTATGCGATGGCGTTTGGGGCGGCGTTTCTGGAGCCGCTGCGGGCGGCGGCTGCCGCCGCTGCTGCTGCTGATGCAAGGAGCAGGGCGCTGGGGTATGGCAGGGAGTGGGGCGGTGGGGGAGGGGGGAGAGGGGGAGGGGCAGGAGAATGGGGAGGAACGGGAGGGGGGATGGGAACAGGGGGGGCAGCAGTGGGAGTGGGAGGGGGCAGGGGAAGCAGTTGGGGGGTCGGAGCAACAACAGGAGCAGGAGGGGGGGTAGTAGGGGGACGGACAGCAGGAGCAGGGGGGGCGAGGAGGGACGTGGGGTACCCGTGGGCTTATGAGGTGGCGAACGGGTTTCTGCAGCTGAGCCGCGTGTTTGGAGGGCCGCCCAGCAGAGAGGAGGAGGAGAGGGTGGGCGAGATGAAGGCCCTGTGCGCCAAGTTCGTGATGCGGCTCGCCATAGAGCCGCTGCTGGTGGTGCACGAGGGGGAGGGGGAGCAGGGGGAGGGGAAAGGGGGGGATGGGGATGAGACAGGGGCGGAGGGGGAGGAGGGGGAAGGTGAGGAGGGAGGGGAAAGCGGGAGAGGGGAGGGGGAAGAGGAGGAGGGGGAAGGGGTGACGGAAGAGGAGGGGGGGAGGAAGGGGGAGGTGGAGGGGGGAGAGGAAAGGGAGAAGGGTGGAGAGGAATGGGGGGATGTTAAGGAGGGTGGAGATGAGAAGGTTGACAGCAGTAGCGGGAAGCTCTGTAATGGATATAGTGCCCGGAAGAGATTAGAAGGGAGGAAGATTCCAGAGGGTAGGAAAACTCCGGAAGGGAGGAGGATAATGAGTTTCTTTAAGGTGGGCAACGAGGCCCTAAGGGATCTGCTGGACGGGTATGAGACGGGCGATGGGGGGGAGACGTGTGATTGGGGGGAGGTGGGCTGTGAAGGGAAGGGGAGTCGGAAAAGGGGTGAGAAGGGGTGTGAGAAGGAGAGTGAGAAAGCGAGTGAGAAGGGAAGTGAGACGGGAAGTGAGGAGGAGGAGAGTGAGAGAATACGCAATGACACTGACAAGACTGATAGAAAGATAAACGGAAGAGAGGAGGGGGAAGAGGTGGAGGTTGGGGAGGAGGAGGAGGATGAGGATGAGGGGGATTTGGAGCCTGTGTTTGACTTCAGTAAGGGTTCAACCATCCATTCTCGGGACTCCCTTATGCACCCACCACCACCACCCCTACCTCCCTTCACCATCTTTCCTAAATCCTCCTCCACCTCCTCCTCCTCCTCCTCCTCTCGCCACACTTCACACTCCCTCACTCCTTCGAGCGCCACTGCCACCACGGCTGTTCATAGCGGCACTCCCACCAACGCCCGCCCTCCCCAATCCTCCCTCCACACCCAAAACGGTCGCATTGCTCCCCGGCCCTCTGCGCTAGGCTCGGCAGTGGCCGAAGGCCCAGATGGCCTGCCAGCAGGGCTGAGTGCCGAGGCTGAGAGGGAGGCTCGGCAGCGGCAGGCTCGGGAGGCAGCGCTGGTTCGGTGGGCGGCGGAAGTGAGCTTTCCAGGGGTGGAGGTGGGGTGGGCGCAGTGGAAAGCGGTGGGGGGGCTGTTGGAGAGAGAGAGCGGGTTGATGCACAAAGCGCTGCCTGTGATGTGGGGCAAAGCCGTCAAAGGGACGTTCAAGGTGAGACCAGCCTCAAGAAGTAGGTGCCTTAAAGCCCGACTGGCAGGTGTTTTGCCCTTCTGCGCCACCAATTAGTCAATCATGCGGGGAGAAACTACCCCCTGACTGGGAAAAGGTGACTTTTGAGTCGACTCAAAAGTCACATCATGCGGGGAAACTACCCCCTGACTGGGGAAAAGTGTTTCTTCCCTCGATACTTGCGAGGGGCTTCGCTCTGCCAAGTTTGTCAAGGCAGCAGCTTGCGTCAGTTGACGGAGGTGTGGCAGCTTGGCGAGCGCTTCCCTGTAACAGGTTCTCAAGATGATGCACTTTGAGCAAAAGGGACATGCAACCTGCCTGTCGGGCTTTAAGGTGGGATGGGCGCGGTGGATGGGACATTCAAGGTGAGATGCGAGTTGACAGTACGACCCTTCACATGGTGGATGCATAGGGGGGGATGCATAGGGCGGGATGCATGGGGGGGGATGCATAGGGGGGGATGCATTGGGGGGGATGCATTGGGGGGGATGCATTGGGGGGGATGCATTGGGGGGGATGCATTGGGGGGGATGCAATGGGGGGGATGCAATGAGGGGGATGCATAGGGGGGGATGCATAGGGGGGGATTCATAGGGGGGGATGCATAGTGACCCCATGCGGGGACATCCCCGAGCAGGAGATGCTGGAGGTCTTTCACAGGGGGCCTGGAGGGGCGGCTCTCATCGCCCTCACCTCGCCCTCTCGCACCCTGCCCCACCCGGCTGGTGCTTCCTCTCTCGGATTCCCCGGGCATCCCTAACACTGGATGGATCCATACCAGAGCAGGAGATGCTGGAGGTCTTTGACTCGGGCCTGGAGGGGCTCCTCATCACCCTCGCCTCGCCCTCTACCTTTCCTGCCTTGCCTTCCTGTCCTCCCACCCCCAGGCAGTAACACCCGATGGCTCTATCCCCGAGCAGGAGATGCTGGAGGTCTTTGACTGGGGCCTCGAGGGGCTGCTGATCACGCTCACCTCGCCCTCCCCCCTCCGCCACGCGTCCACCCCTCGCACCCCCTCCCCCTCCTCCCTCTCCTCCTCGCCTCTCCCCGTCTCTGCTCCCTCCTCTACTTTCTCCTCCTCCTCCTCCTCCTCCTCCTCCTCCTCCTTCTCCACATCAACCCATTCCTCTTCCGCAGCCAAAATCCCAAACGCCACGTCGTCTGCTCTACCCAGTACACTCCCTCCAACTGCAACCACCCATCGGTTTCCAGAGGTCATCCAGCAGCCCATACCTCCCCCCTCCTCCACCTCCTTCCCGCACTCCTCCTCCACCTCCTCCTCCTCCTCCCTCGCCCCCACGCCGTCCCTCCAGCGCTCCGCCTCCTCCCTCGTCTCCGGCTGGGCCTGGATCGAGCCGCTCATCTCTGCCGTCGATCCGCGGGAGAAGGACATCGGCGAGTTAATCCTGGCCGTTGCAGCGCGCATGGCGGCGCATATCTACTGGAGATGGCCCAGGAGGAAAGACAATGCGCGCTACATCGCCCGCCTGCTGCTCTACGCTCACAGGCGGTTCGGGTGGCAGCAAGGGGGGCAGGGGGGGCAGCAGCAGGGGGGACAGGGGGGGCAGCAGCAGGGGGGACAGGGGGGGCAGCTGAGGATGCGCGCGGTGAAAGTGAGCGAGCGGCTGTGGGGGTGGAGCATGCCCGATGCTGCTTCCGTGCACGAGCAGTGCGAGGTGAGAAATGGGGGGGGTTGAGAGTAAGGGGGGCTGATGAAAAAGGGGGGTGATGGAAAAAGGGGTTGAGAGTGAAGGGGGGTGAAAGTGAAGGGATGCTGGGGAAATATCAGGGGGGTTGGGGAAGGGATGGGGTTCGGGAGGCGGGGAAAGGAGGTGGAAGGCAATGGGCAGGGGGGCAGGATGTTTTGGGGTGTTTGGGTAAGTGGGGTGGCGAGGGGTGGGATGGGGTATGTAGGGCTGGGCATGTGGTTTGGGGAGGCAGGTTCAAGATGTCTTCAGCATCTCTTTACCCTTGTGCTCATGTATTGCTGGGTTTAATTTTGTGGGCATGTGCATGTGCTACATGTGCATGGGTGTGGGTATGTGCTCATTGCGGTATGTCCATCACATCGCTTGGCAGACCAATGAGGAGGCTCAAGAGATCATGGACAGCGCAATGATTGCAACATGGACGGGCATTGCAGCGTGATTCAAGCAGCCACTGGAGTCTTGCCTTTTAAAGCGTGGCGCAAATGAGTAAATTCTAACCTGCAGTGGCATGTCTGGTAACAATATACCGTTTCACCTGTCTGGCATTCGAGGACATTTCTTGCTCCTCATTCTTGTGTACCATGATGTGCTATGTATCAGAATAATTGAATAATGGTAAAGTGAGAGTACACACAAATATATCTAAGTTTTGTATCCTCTAAGAGGTGACTCTATACAGTCTATACAAACATGACAAATACACATGTTTGACACACCCCCTAGACTGCATAGGGGAATACCCTAAACAAGCAGCTCAGGGCGGCACTACTAGTCCAACCTCTGAGACAAGGGTCTGAGCGACCGGTCAGAAGGAGTACAGACAAGGCAAGCACAAGAGCAGGGCGGCACTACTAGTCCAGCCACTGGGAGAGGACACAAGTCCAGTCTGAGTATACATATAAAGGACAGTACAAAGTCAAGGTCCTAGCAAGTGAGAGGCTACAGGAACTAGACCAAGCTGTACACAGTGCCGCTGATGATCTTTAGGCGCAAGCGCCTTCGTAAAGATATCAGCCGTGTTGGCACCTGAGGCCAAGTGTACTACGCGAGCCTGACGTCGCTGCTGTAGCTCACGCAGGAGGAAGTACCGCAGCTGAATGTGCTTCGCTCTGCCCTCGAGTCGAGGCTCCTAACACAGGAGGATCATGGCCCTGTTGTCAGCGAACAGGACCGGGGCAGAGCTAGGCCGCTCACCTAAGTCAGTGAGCAAGAAGGTCAGCCAGCGGAGCTCCTGTGCCGCCATGGCACCGGCGTAGATCTCAGCCTCACAGCTGGACTGTGCAACCGACGAGGAGCGAGTAGCTCTCCACGAGACGGCACCTGAGCCAAGGCTGAAGCAGTAGCCCTGGGTAGACCGGAGTGTCTCAGCGTCGTCTGCCCACGAAGCGTCTGTGTGCCCAGTAAGGACCGCTGGCCTGCGTCCTCCTAGCACTAACCCCATGCCCGATGTACTAGCAAGATAACGCAGAACCCTCTTAGCGGCAGACCAGTGCTGCGGTCGGTGTCTGCCTGTGGCCACAAAGCGAGCCAGGATGCTGAGAGGGTATGCGAGATCTGGGCGAGTGCAAGTCATCAGGTACATGAGGCAACCCACCAACTCTGCGTAGGGGCCGCTGGGCTCTACCAACTCCTCAGGCACTGGAGCGGAGAGCCTGTGGTCTACAGGCAGAGGGGTGGGCTGTGCAGAGGAGAACTGAAGGCTGAACCTCTGAAGGACCTGGCGCACCAAGTGTGACTGAGTCAGGGTGATGGTGCGCGCAGCTCTGTCCCTGGAGATCTGCAAGCCAAGGTAACGGCGCAGTTCTCCAAGGTCAGTGCAGGTGTGTCTCTTCAGCAGCTCTGCCTTCACGGAGGCCAGCGCGTCCCTGTCTGCTGTGGCAAAGACCAGGTCGTCGACGTAAACGAGGATGTAGAACGGAGTCTGGCCAGCACGAACGAAGAGTGAAGGGTCTGCAGAAGACGGAAAGAACTGCAGGTCAGCAAGCGTAGCACGCAGAGTGTCGTGCCACTCACGGGGAGCCTGGCGCAAGCCGTAGACGGGGCGCCGCAGGAGCCACTGGGTCCCAGAAGGGAAGGTGCCAGTAAAGCCCGGAGGACGGCGCAGGTAGACCTGCTCGTGTAGGCTGCCCTGAAGAAAGGCAGTGGAGAAGTCGAGGGAGTGAAGCTCGTAGTCACGCTGAGCAGCTAGGTGTAACAGAACCCGAAGAGTAGTCATCTTCGGGGTCGGAGCGAAAGTCTGGAAGAAGTCCACCCCCTCGCGCTGACTGAAGCCTCTAGCCACATAGCGCGCCTTGAAGACAGGCGGCTCTCCAGGAGGGCGCTTCACCTTGAAGAGCCAGCGGCCATCGACTACGTTCACCCCAGGTGGGGGAACTGCGTCGACGAAGGTGCCGGTGGATCTCCAAGATGCCATCTCCTGCTCCATGGCAGCTATCCACTGCGAGGCCCAGGGTCCCGAAGTCGCCTCAGCGTAAGTGCGAGGGGTCGGGATGTCGAAAGCGTCTGGGTCACCCTCAGGGACTAGCAGCATGGAACAGAGATGGGGAGCAGCCTCGGAGAGGAAAGCAAGCTCGAACTGGCGGTCCTCCAGGACGTCACTGCCAAGGGCAGGAGCACCCCCGACAGACGGAGGACAGGCAGGGTCAGAGACCAGAGCGGTGGCGTAGTCAAGGCGGCGGGTAGAGGCGAAGTCAGCGACAGCAGCGACAAGAGCGTCAAGGCACGAGACTGGAACAGACGGGTCGGTAACGAGAGAGGCAAGGACCCGAGGAACGAGAGGACGAGCGGCACGAAGGTAGTCGGACAGCGGGGGGGGCGCAACAACAAGGGAGGACGGAGGAGGTGACGGCAGAAGGGGAGGACGAGACGCGTGTGAACGAAGCAACATAGGGTGGGAGCGCAGGACAGGCGAGGCAGGACGAGCACGGGAGGGACGGTGAGACCAGACGTGCGATGGAGGAGTCGGGTCAGGAGACAGGGGAGGGGACACAGGAGGGGAACGAGGGGGGAGACGGGCCGGGGACGAGTCCGGCGGAGGGAAAACAGGGCCGTAGACAGGAAGAGGAGGAGACGGCAGGAGAGGAACCGACGCAGGGTCGGGGGACGGAAGGCCGAGCAGGCGAAGGGCGGACACCGGCGGGGACTGCTGCTGCGGCGGCACAACGGCGACACCTGGACCGCAAGCTGCTCCTCGGCTACCACCGGCACTCTCCACACCCGCACCCCCAGAGGGACCACCCTCAGGGCGACCGGAACGAGCACCCCCAGAGTCAGCGAACGGGGGCTGCGACGGCGGCGGCGGCGGCGGCGACGGCGACGGCTGCAGTGGCGGCAGGGACGGCGGAGGAGGGGACTGGGGAGGGGACACCTGGGGAGGGGCGGCCGGCGAGGACTGCACCGGAGGGCCACCAGAGTCAGAAGACTCCTCAACCGGGTCCACGGACGGAAGGGGGGTGACATGGGAGACACCAGAGGGGGCGGGACGGGGAGGAGGAGGAGGAGGGGCAGGGACTACCGGGGAAGGGGTGACCAGGAACAGGGGGGGGTAACCGGGGGACCACGGTGGGGGAAGCGGCGGTAGTAGGAGACGGACTCGTCAAAGGTGACGTCACGAGAGTGAAAGAAGCGGTGAGACGGCGGGTGGTAAAAGTGCCAGTCGGACGCGTCAAGAGGAAAACCGAGGAAGACGCAGGGAAGGGTGCGGGCAGTGAGCTTGTCCGTGCCGGAGGCACGGACGTGAGCAAGGCAGCCCCAGACGTGGAACGCAGACGCGTCACCAGGAGACCCAGTCCACAGACGGGTCGGCGAAACCTGCGGCTGCTGAGGGTGCGGCCACAAGTTAAGCTGGTGAGAAGCATAGCGCACAGCGAACGGCCACAGAAAATGGGGTGCACCGGCATGGACCATGGAGGTGCGAGCGACCTCCATGACCAAGCCGATGCGTCGCTCAGCGACCCCATTCTGCTGTGGGGAGTCCGGTAGGGTGAACGTCTGGGTGATGCCCTCCGCACGACAAAAGCGACCAAGGACACCTGAGGCAAACTCGCCACCACGGTCTGAGTGAAGACGCAAGACAGGGAGACCGCGGTGGACACGCGCAGAGACAAGCCAGGGGATGAGGGCGCCAGGCACGTCGGCCTTGCGCTCCAGGGGAAAGACTGTGGTGTAACGAGTGAAGTCGTCGACAAGCACAAGGAAGTAGCGCTCGCGACGCGGCCCAGGGACGGGGGCGGGGCCCCAGACGTCCAGGTGCAGGGTCTGCAGCGGCGCGGCGGTAGGGGGGAACGAGGAGGAGTGAGGGGCACGGCGAAGCCGACCCTCGACACAAGGCGTGCAAGGTGGAGCTGGGGAGGAGGGAAACGCGGGGAGTGAACCTGGGAGACCAAGGACAAGACCGTGCTGGGACATGTGACGCAGACGCGGGAGCGCAGGGTGACCTAGGCGGTGGTGCCACAGGAGGGTCGGGTGAGTGAGGGAGCGACAGGAGCAGGCAGCAGCAACCTGGGTAGACACAGCCACCTGAGGGGGCGCTCCAGCCGGGGGGGGCACGGTGTCCAGAGTGAACAGGCCGGACACCGGGTCCCGGGGGAACGTGGACAGGGGGGCACTAGTGGCGGCCTCGGTACAGACAGCATACCGCTCGTGACCAGGGAACGTAGTGGTGACGCCAAGGTCCTGGAGGCAGCCGACACCAACTAGGTTCCTGAGAACGAGGGGATATGCAGACCTGTAAGAGAGCCCGAAGGAACCGCCGGACAGGGAAGGGTGGTGGAACTGCGGGCGACTACCGGGCCGCCGGAGGGGTCAGCAAGAGAAACGGCAGCAGGAACAGGAAGCGGCGTCAGGGTGGTGGAGTCGCGGAAGAAACACCGAGAGGCGCCAGAGTCCAAGGTGAAGGAAAGCGAAGCCGAGGGGTCTGGCGACGGAACGACGGCAGAAGCACCAAGACTACACAAAGCAGGGGATCCTACGCCTGACGCAGCAGGGGAGGCTAAGCTAGGCACACCTACACTAGGCAACAGTGAGTAATAAGTCGGAAGCACACTAGAGTCATCAGCATACATCACATGCAGAGCAGAAACAATGGCATCCATGTCCATATCAAAGATCTGAATCTGACGACTAAGCAAACTGTGCCAGTCCGGGAGGTCTGGCGACGGGCCGAAACGCTGACGAAAGAGGTCGTCCAGGCGACGAAAGCAGCGGGGAGTGGAGTGACCGATCTTATCGCAAACGAAACCGCGGCGAGGACCGGTCTGGATCTGGTACTGACAACGCCCGCCGGCAGAGCCACCACGCGGCACACCACCACGCGCCCGTCCACCGCCAGCGCCGGGCCACCCTGGTGGGAGAACACTCGTCTGCCGCGTCTGCGACGGCTGCTGCGAAGGCTGCGACTGCGGCGGCTGCTGCGGCTGCTGCAACTGCAGGGGCGGCGACTCAGCTGGACTGGGCAGGGTCCCCTCGTCCGCTCCAGCACCAGGCGACCCGACCCCACCACTACCCCCGCCTGCACCCCCGCCGCCCCCTCCGCCGCGCCCAGCCTTGGGGCGGCGGCCCTTCCCAGAACGGGCCTGCGCTGCAGCAGCAGTCTCAGCCACTGCGGCAGAGCCGTCGGAGAAGGTACACTGAGCGGGGGCACAACCCTGAAAGATAGGGACCGGCACGACACCGCTCGCCTGGGCGATGGAGCGGTGACGGGTCTCTATCACAGTCAGGGTGTCGACAAAGTCAGTGAGGGTGAGGTCTGCGGGGTGAACACTAAGGAAGCGGTCGCGGGCGACAGCAAGGCGGTCAGGGAGGCGGGTGGCAAGCAGGTAGAGGGTAGAGGTAATGGACGGCTGGTGGGCTCTAAGCTGTGCGTCAGTGCATGCGGCGCGCCAGGTCTCCTCTATCGAGCGCAGGTGGGCAGCGAGGTCAGAGACAGTGGGGAACGAAGCAAGGTCAGGAAAGAGCAGCGGGAGGATCAGGCGACCCACCGAGGCAGCCGGAGGGGTGGAATAGCGCTTGATGACAGCATCTAAGTATGCCTGAGCAGTAGTGAGGGACCTAAAGCGAGGACGCTCGGACGGGGGGAGGGCGTTGCTAATGGCAAGCTGGGCGACAGCATCGCGAGAAAGCCAGACAGAGCGCGCACGGGCAGTGGCAGCAGTAGACTCACGCTCAGTGGGTGTGGGGTCAGCGGGCAGAATAGCAGGAGGGTCTGGGCAGGGGAGCGTACCGTCAAGGTGTGCGGAAAGCGGTTCACCATCCTGCCGCTGGCCAGTGAGTTGGCGGCGGAGGTCGGCAAGCCACGCCTCGAACTCTAGGGGCTGACCTTCAGCGTCGAAGCGAAGCTCCGCCGCCATCAGGAACAGTCCAGTGCTGTGCAGGGCGGTGCAGCTAGGTGGGGTGCGGTGCAGTGCGATACAGTGCGGTGCAGTGCGGTGCAGTGCGGTACTGTGCGGTACAGTGCGGTGCAGTGCGGTGCAATGCGGTACAGTGCGCTGCAGTGCGGTGCAGGGCGGCACGGAGCAGGGCGGGGTGGGGGGGGGGGGGGGGGGGGGGAACCGTACCAGTGAGGAGGACGGGGCCGGGGCTGGCCCGACGGGGCCGGGCGGGCGCGACGGGGCCGGGCTGATGCGACAGGGCCGGGACGGGGCGACGGGGCCGAGCGGGCGCGACGGGGCCGGGCTGGGGCGACGGGGCCGGGCGAGTGCGGCAGGGCCGGGCCGGTGCGACGGGGCCGGGCGAGCGGGACGGCGGCCGGGCTGGTGCGACGGGGCAGGGCGGCTGTGACGGGGCCGGGCAGGGTGCGACGGGGCCGGGCGGGTGCGACGGGGCCGGGCGGCTGCGACGGGGCCGGGCGAGCGCGACGGGCCGGGCAGGGTGCGACGGCGCCGGGCGGGCGCGACGGGGCCGGGCGGCGGCGACGGCGCCGGGCGGGCGCGACGGGGCCGGGCGGCGGCGACGGGGTCGGGCGGGCGCGACGGCGTTGGGCGGGCACGACGGGGCCGGGCGGCGGCGACGGGTACGACGCGGCCGAGGAGGGGCGCTACGGGGCCCAGGAGGGGCACGACGGGGGGCCCAGGAGAGGCGCTACGAAGCCCAGGAGGGGCGCGACGAGGCCCAGGAGGGGCGCTACGGGGCCTGGGAGGGGCGCGACGGGGCCTGGGAGGGGCGCGATGGGGCCCAGGAGGGGCGCTACAGGGCCCAAGGAGGGCGCGACGGGGCCCAGGAGGGGCGCTACGGGGCCCTGGAGGGGCGCGACGGGGCCCAGGAGGGGCGCTACGGAGCCCAGGAGGGGCGCGAAAGAGCCCAGGAGGGGCGCTACGAGGCCTGGGAGGAGTGCGACGGGGCCCAGGAGGGGCGCTAGGGGGCCTGGGAGGAGCGCGACGGGGCCTGGGAGGGGCGCGACGGGGCCTGGGATGGCGTTACAGGGCCCAGGAGGGGCGCTACGAAGCCCAGGAGGGGGCGCGACGAGGCCCAGGAGGGGCGCTACGGGGCCCGGGAGGGGCGCGACGGGGCGCTACGGGGCCTGGGAGGAGCGCGACGGGGCCCAGGAGGGGCGCTAGAGGGACTGGGAGGGGCGCGACGGGGCCTGGGAGGGGCGCGACGGGGCCTGGGAGGGCGGTACAGGGCCCAGGAGGGGCGCTACGAAGCCCAGGAGGGGCGCGACGAGGCCCAGGAGGGGCGCTACGGGGCCCAGGAGGGGCGCGACGGGGCGCTACGGGACCTGGGAGGAGCGCGACGGGGCCCAGGAGGGGCGCTAGTGGGCCTGGGAGGAGCGCGACGGGGCCTGGGAGGGGCGCGACGGGGCCTGGCAAGGGCGCTACGAAGCCCAGGAGGGGCGCGACGGGGCCTGGCAGGGGCGCTACGAAGCCCAGGAGGGGCGCTACGGGGCCTGGGAGGAGCGCGATGGGGCCCAGGAGGGGCGCTAGGGGGCCTGGGAGGAGCGCGACGGGGCCTGGGAGGAGCGCGACGGGGCCCAGGAGGGGCGCTAGGGGGCATGAGCGGAAGCGGTAGGTGGGGGGGGGGATCCTACCTACGCGTGATACCATATCAGAATAATTGAATAATGGTAAAGTGAGAGTACACACAAATATATCTAAGTTTTGTATCCTCTAAGAGGTGACTCTATACAGTCTATACAAACATGACAAATACACATGTTTGACACTATGCTTGTTAGCAGTGTTAGCAATTCTTTTACATCTTGGTGTGGCTTGAGCACTTATGCACCTTGTCTGTGTGCTTGTGCATGGCAAGCTATTTACATCAAGTGAATGCTAAAACCTAGAATAAGTGCTGGATCCAGCAACGGAGAGGGTTCCTTGTCACTGGCTCAAGTGTTTTTTTAAGGCCCAAGTGAGCTGCAAGAATAGGATAGATAAAATCATCAATAGCCATGAGGACAATGCATCTGCGTGCACCAAACGCTCGTAAGATTCTTTTGACCGTTTTTATTGATTCTCGTTGACCGCCTTATTTGTCCCGAGCCGCAACGATCGCACATTTCCAGCCGGCCGAGTCGCCCATTTCCCCGCTGAAACTGGATAAGGGAGACCAGGGTGAGGGGCTCGCATTCGCATTCACATTCACAAAGGCGGCAAGGCCAAAACTCATTCGCAACAGCGGCCTTCACATTTACATTAGCCTGGACAACCTCTGTTAGGTGGTCGATTGGTTGCTTCCCCTCGTTCCAGCAGAGCCTAGGCATTCCGTAAAACGATGCAATCTGGTCATTTGCACGTTCAGGGACGAGTTATGCTCCAATTTAGAGTTGCGTACGACCTATGTGGGTTCCTCCAAGCACGAAGCTTGTGCCTCCAGCTACTGCCTCCCAAAACGTGATCGGCGCTGCTTTCGAGAGTAGCTGTACTAACACTAACGCCTCTGACCCTAAAGAACTCTGTATTTTAATAACCCACGTATTGGAACGACTCCGAAAGGGAAAAGTAGACTAAGCTGACTGCACAGTCACTGACAGTTGTCGTCCGCACAACGCCATGACACGTGTCAGCCCTTCAAGAATCCTCCAGCCACAAAACCGCAACACAATACCTCACCTTTCCTGCATTCTCCTCGGAACAGCAATCCTAATCGCGCATCACGCCCACCTTCTCGCAGCGCAGCCGTTTGCATTCCCCACGGCAAGCCTCTCCTCCGACAATAAGCGCTCGAAGCTCATTCGAGGAAGCATCTCCTCGATACCTGTCAGCGAGCCGAACAGCCACACCCACTCATCACATTTCTATCCCCGGCTCCTGAAATCATCCTCTCGAGATGAGTCCGCTTTCTCGACTGAAAGCAGCGCAGCCGTAGATTTTTCCTCCGAGGCCTCTCCCACGCCGTTCGTTCTCGACACTCCAGACTCGATCCCCGCTAGTAGCAGCGCTAGTAGCAGTAGTATTAACCCGAGTTTTGACTACGGCAATCCGTTCACCACGCCCAGCAAGCCAGTAATATTCACAATGCCAGACCCCGACCCCGCTACCTTCGTCACAAATCCATCCGCGGTAGTGACAGACCCGACCGCGGTGAATGTGGATATGACTGGTGGCTCTCCTGGGAGTTCTGGAAGTGTCCCGGTAGGGTCGTCTTTCTCGGGGATTGGCGGTGGGGGTCAGCCGGCTTTCCCACAGCCGGGTGTTGGATCGAGCTCCAAACCAGGAGATTCCAACGGTAACCAGGTAACCAGCAGCCTTCCTGCTCCGCGTCCCACGGGCGCGGTTTTCAATGTTCGAAAGTTTGGAGCTAAGGGAAATGGAGAGTCAGACGATTCGGGTGGATTCCTGGCCGCGTTTGCAGCAGCGTGCAACGCGTCGATATCTGCTGACGCAAACACCGGGCCAACTACTATGCTCGTTCCTGGTGGATACACCTTCTACCTCACGCCGATTCAGCTGATCGGCCCTTGCGGACCCGGAGGAGTTAGTGTCCAGATTGATGGGAATATAACGGCACCTGAGAAGCTCTCCAAGTATCCGTCTTCGTCCAGGAAGGGCATTTTCGCGTTCCTTCAGTTTGGGATGATCGCGAACCTGACGGTGGTTGGCTCGGGATTTATTGACGGGCAAGGCGAGTCTTTCTGGGAGAAGGGGGGCGACCGGCCGGTGCTTGTGTATGTCTACTTGTGCAACGGCACGAGCATAAGCGGCATCACGCTCCAGTGAGTCCCTGTTGGTTCTCAATCCTTTACATTGCTCGTATTTCCTGGTCTATTATATGCTTACACTCAGCAGTACTAACTGCAGGAGCTGATTATTGTCAATGGCTTGTCTCTCGCAGGAATGCTCCATTTTTTCACCTGCAAGTTACTCGCTGTGTGGGAGTGAGGATATTTGACTTCAAGACGAACACACCTGCAGAGAGCAGAAACACGGACGGGATTCATGTGTCCGTGTCAACCAATGTTGAGATTCGAGACTGCACGCTGGCGGGTGGTAAGTAAAGTACATGGCCTCAAGCCTGGGGTGTTTTGTCATTACTTAGTTGCAGACTTCACATGATCATAAACGAAAATTATTTTCATTCAATGCAGGTGACGACAACATTGTTCTCTGGGATGGTGCAAGGGAAGTCAGCATCTCAGACATTACCATCTTCAGTGGCCATGGAATATCGTATGTTTCTCGTCCTTCACACAGATAAATCAACTTCACACCTATGACTAGTCTTAGGGTTTTTGCTGTCACGTTCATTCAGTTTCACCGTGTCTTAAATGAGTCTTCCCTGTGCAGGATTGGGGCACTTGGCAGTGGCAAGATTTCACCACTGTCCTGCGTTTCAGACGTGACAGTGAAGTCCGTCCGATTCTTCAACACGAAAATAGGGCTACGCATAAAGACTTTCCAAGGTGGAGCGGGTGCTGCAACAAACATTGCATATGAGAACATCACCATGGAGGGGGTCCGATACCCTCTGGTTCTGGATCAGGTGAGTTGAAGCCCTTCTAAATTGTGCAGATGCGCTGAATTTGACTCTGCCAGAGTATTGATGGTCTTTCCTGCTTCGACCTGCAGTTCTACAACGGAGGTAGCTTGCTATCGCGGAGCTCATCAAAGTCCAACAACGTGGCCATTTCAGATGTTTCGTTCTCGAACATCCAAGGCACAGCCATCGGAAATGAAGGCGCTGTCTTCCGTTGCAGCAGAACAGTACCTTGTACAAAAGTAAGGCTCAATAATGTTAACATAACTGCAGCAGGGCAGGCGACGCCACTGGTTCCGGTTTCAGAATATGTCTACGGTAAGGTGGGCGGGGATGTCTCCTTGGCATTGGAGGTTGAGAGTAAGGCTGACTCCGACGAGCTTGAGAGGACACAGAAGTTAGTGTCCGCTTGTGCCTCGCAGCCCCTCGTTTACTGACTGAAAAGATGTCTTGAATATCAGCTGACCTGCCACACGCAGCGAACGTCCATAGGCTAATCGTTCTGATACTTTCTTACTGACATGACTCTTCACTGGCGCTCGCTCCTTCTGTTGCCTTAAATACCTGTGCATAATGTACTTCCAGCCATTTTCGGCCAATGTCGGGATATGTTTCGCCAGGATCAACGTGTCGGAAAGATAAGGGAGGCTTTATTTTAAATTTGTTTGTACAGCTTTGATCTTCAAGTCGAATTCGACTACCAGTGCAGGAGGTCCAAAACTCGCTGGACAGCGTCCTGGACATTTTTGCGATCTTCTTGCAGTTTGCTTTGAGTGGCAAGAGTATCATGCTTGATTTGTTCGAGCTCTTTGTCGATGTCAATTCCTTCGTCGTTGAGAGAGCTGAAAGTGTTTGCACGCATATTAGTCCTCGCAAAGGAAGCCAGGCTATGGCGTTTGAAACGACACTAAATGGCACTTACTCAATGTCAGGCAGGAGACCTTCCATGGCGCTTTGCGTCTGATTCAACAACTGCGAAATTAGATCGCGCGTGCTGTTGCCTACGCCAGCTTGTTGCGGAAGCTCTTCAGCGCTTTGGTCAACCATGCCTTCATCAGGACTCTCGACGACAGTCTCCAAGGCCATGGCGATAATGAAGCTGTTGAAGTTTTGAAAGATGGCGAAAGTTCGAGTTCCACGATCAAGTGTCTCAATCGGTGAATTTGTACTCCCGCAAATGTCGATCTCGAGGACCTTCGGGAGATTTCAGTACAATCCGCGGTACAAAATGTTTCTTTGCAATACAGAGAGCAACACCACCATTTTTTTATTTAGGGATGCGACTTTGACGCAGTTTCGGGAACTTCAGTTTCCGATACAAGCAGGGATCCTTCAGAAGCTCCCTTGGCCATCAGAAACGGACCTCTCCCCCTCGATTATGTCACACGTCTTGGCGCAGAGCCTAAAATACTGGGATCATAATTCATTATGACAGTTCACTCACCGATACTGCCCAGTCAGGGATAGGTGGTATCAGTATTGCAGTTCTTAGCTCTGGTCAATCGTCGGCGCGCTTGTTTCACATATGATTCGTTGAGCTAAGCCTTCGTCGCTATCGTACGGCCGGAATCCGGCTCGCGTTCAGCATGGGGGATTCAGGCGAGCCGTTTTCGCTGGACTTGCACGGGCCGGGGGCGTCCGCTCTCCGCGCCGTCGTGCGCGACAAGCTCGCCGATTTCTCCGAGAGCTTTACTGACGACGTCCTCGCGGTACGCATTTCGCAGCGATACGTACGATTTCGTAGCGGCTGGAGGTATTGATCCGTAGCGGCTCGTGCGCTGTTTCAGCAAGACGCCGATACGTCGTACGAGAGGGTGTCTTTAGTGGGTCTACCGCCGTATCGGCGACGCGGAGCGGGCGTCGCGATCTACGAGTTTTCCGATCTACTTGACGTCGCTTGCGGATGCCCGTTATTCGCGTTTCACGATCTCCTCATCGATGAAACGCGATTGATTCGCCGCCACTTGGATCTGACCCTCTTTTCCGCTTTCTAAATCAATTAGGGTTTGTAAGATTGTTCACGGACTTCGGGATGAGAGGTTAAAAGACTTAGCTCGACAACGAGCTGTCCTTAGCTGCTCGTATTCGGGGCAAACGCGCAGATAAATCTCCCGCGTAGATTAATCCGAAGCTGGAGTAGTCCCTCCAAAGCTCCGATCCTGTTGCTTTACCATTTCCCCCTGTGGAATGACCCCCGGCCCCGTGCGCCTTGTCTGCATCCACGCACACCAGATGCCAATTCATCACAACATTCATTGAATCTGGTCCATCCCAACCCCCCTCCCCCCTCCCCTCTCTCAAACCCCACTCCCCCCCCCCCCCCTCTCCCCCCCTCTCCCCCCTCTCCTCCCTTCCCTCCTCTCCCTCTCTTCCATTGCAGGAGTACGTGGTGGTGCTGGTGGCTCACGGCAAGCACAGGAGCCAGGCAGCCGAGGATCTCGAGGCGTTTCTGGGCGACCAAACTGCCGCCTTTGCCGACTGGTGGGTGCGGTAGCAGTAATCCCTTCATGGGTCGCCGCCTTTGCCGCTTGTGCGCTGCACAGTACAGTAAATCCTCGCTGTAACCAGCTGTTACATGCATCCGTCGGCTGGCCTGTTTGGGGCTCGTCAATGTTTTCCTCACATTCTGACAAAGAGTATTCCACCGACCCTCATATCCGGACAGGCTTTGGTCCCACCTGTCGGCCAACATTGGCAAGTACAACGCGCCTGCTACCTTGGAGGATGCCGGCGCAGGGAAGGAAGTGAAAGGCGTGCCTGTGCGGGAGGAGGGGAAGCGAGACGAGAGGAAGCAGGGAGAGGAGGGAGGTGGCAGGGAGGGTGGTGAAGTAAGGGAGGAGGACAGAGGGGGTTGGGAGGAGAGGGGGAGAGAAGAACGGGTCAGGGAGGAGAGAGGGAGAGAGGAGAGGGGGAGAGAAGAACGGGTCAGGGAGGAGAGAGGGAGAGAGGAGAGGGGAAGGGTGGAGAGGGGGAGAGAAGGGAGAGGGAGGGATGAGAGGGGAAGAGAGGGTAGAGGGAGGGGAGTGAGGGGGAGGAGTCGCGAGAGGAGCGGTGAGAGAGGCTGGGAAAAAGGCGGAGAGAGAGGCGTGAATGGGGAGAGGGGGAGAGAGAGGGAGAGGAGCATTGAGAGAGAAAACGAAGTGGGTCGGAACCGGAGCTTAGATCGAGGAAAGGATTCGTGGAAAGGCAAGAGAGGGAGAGATGCGATTGTTAGTGGGTATGATGAGGAACGGGGGAGGGGGTATGAGGAGAGAGGGAGGGAAGATGAGGAGAGAAATAGGCAGTATGAGAAGAGAGGGCGGTTGTATATGGATGAGGTGGGAGGGGGAGAGGGCGAGGTTGAGAGGGAGGCAGCAAGGGACGTGCGACGTGAAGTGCGTCGGGGTGCGTCTCGTTCATGGTCGCCTCCAGGAAGGAGGGGGGAGAGGGCGCAGCGGAGGGAGTCATGGGAAGCGGAGGGCGCGAGGCGGGAGGAGGCGAGGGGTGAGCGGTTGGATAAGGGGTTGAAGAGGGGGGTTGGAGAAGAGGGCGACGGTGAGCAGTGGGCGAGAAGACAAGGACAGGAGGAGGCGGGCGGCCGCGAGAGACAGGGGGTGGGGGGTAATGGCGAGGAGGAGAGGGCGCGGATGAGACGGCTGTTTGGGAATAGCTTGGGCGAGGGGCAGCGACGGCGGACGACAGGGGATGGGGTGAGGGCGGATGGGCGTCGAGAACTTGTGCCTGGGAGGGAAGATGGGGGAGAGAGAGTGGTGGTGCGTAGGAGGAGCGAAGGGGCGGATGGGGATGGGTTGGAAGCGGTTGAGGATGTCGTTCAGAGGAAAGGGCGCGGGCCGTTTGCTCGGGTGGGAGCTGTTGGGAGGGCGATGGAGAGCGAGGATGCGAGGGGGCAGGGTGAGGAGGGGGGAGGGCGGGAGGGAGGGGAAGATGGGGGAGGAAGGAGGGATGGGAGGAGTGAGGAGGCGCCACAGGGGGTGGCGGCAGGAGAGCAGGTGACGGGGAAGAGAGGGCGGCAAGTGGCCGCAGGGGCAAGGGGTCTGGGCGGCAGGCTGTGGCAGTTTGCTGTTAGAGATGCTGTGAAGCCAGCCGGGGGCGCTCGAGCGCCTGCCCTTGCTGCTCGTGCTGCTGCTGCTGTGGCTCTGGGCGCTGCTGCTGGTTCCCTTGCCGGTGGTGGTGGTGCTGCTGCTGCTCCTGCTGGTGGTGTTGATGGTGCTGCTGCCGATCAAGAGAGGACGAGGGAAGCACCTGTAAGAGTGGTGCGCGTTGGTGTGCCGGCACCTGACCGCTCTGCCGTCGGTAGTGCTGTTGACCCCCTTGCTGATTCTTACACTGCACCTGGCGCCTCTCCTGACGCGTCTCCTGATGCTTCCCCTGGTGCTTCCGGTGGTGCTTTTCCTGGTGCTGGGAAGGCCACTGCTAGGGCTAGAAAGGAGGTGCAGGTGGTAGACTTGGAGGAAGAGGAGGAGAGAGGGGAGGCGGAGAGAGAGGAGGAGGGAGGGCGAGGGAGTCGCAAGCGGCTGCGGTCTGTGATAGCACCCATTCCCACGGCAGCAGAGAAGGCACAGGGGAAGGAGGAGTGGACAGGAGGGGGGGCAGGGGTGGAGGCAGGGGAAGGAGCAGGGGAAGGAGCAGGGGCTGGGAGAGAAGTAGGAGCACAGAGAGGAGCAGAAGGGGCGGAGGCGAGAGAGGGTGCTGGGAGGGAGGAGGAGGGGAGGGGGAGTGTGTGGGCGAGGCTGGGGCGGAGGTGTGTGCAGAGGGGTGGAGATGGGCGGATAGTGGTGCAGCGGCAGGCGGACTATGGGGAAGAGTATGGGGTAGGGTTTGGGGGGGAGTATGAGGGAGAGTATGGGGGAGGGTATGGGGGAGGGTATGGGGGAGGGTATGGGGGAGGGTTTATGGGGGGGGTTGAGATGAGAGAGGGGGATATGTGGCTTGAGGGAGCGGGAGAGGGAGTAGAGGGTTGGGGGGGTGGAAGAGGAGGGGAGGGAGGAGGAATGAGAGTGAGGTTTGGGGGAGAGGGGGATGAGGATGAGGAGGAGGATGAGGAGGAGGAGGAGGGAGTGGAGGGGGGGAGGAGAGAGAGGCTGGGAGGTGCTGGGCTAGCAGGAGTAGGAGGAGGAGTGGGTGGGAGTGGGTTGAGAGGGGTGAGGAGGATCTTTGTGAGAGAGGATATGATTCGAGGGGGTATGCTTGTCAACGGGATGGGCATGGGCATGGGCGGGGATGTGGGTCTGGTGATTGTGCCTTCTGCACTAAACCACCAGCAGTACGAGCAGCAGCAGCAGCAGCAGCAGCTGTTGCTGCACGCACAAAGGAGGCAGCAACAACAGCCGCAGCAGCAGCAGCAGCAGCAGCAGGTGCTGCAGCAGGCACAGGAGCAGCCGCAGCACCAGCCGCAGCAGCAGCAGCAGAGGCCGCAGCTGCAGCAGCGCCAGTGGCGCAGAGTGAAGCCCCAGCCGCCGCAGCAGCAGCAGCCGGACGGCACGCAGGTGCAGCAGCAGGTTTTAGGTCGGCCAATGGTTGCGCAATCGGTCGTTAGTGCAGGAATGGGGAGAGGGCAGGGGAGGGGGGGCCAAGGAGGCATGGGCCGGGGGAGAGGAAGTTTGACATGGGTGGCGAAGAGGGAAGAGAGGGAAGAGAAGGGGGAGAAGGGGGAGAAGCGGGAGAAGGGGGAGAAGGGAGAAAAAGAGGGCAAAGGCAGCCCGGGGGGTGAGAAGCGGGAGAGCTTGGAGGCGATGCGGCAGAGACTGCAGCAGATGCAGGAGGAGATGCGGAAGATCAAAGCGCAGCAGGACAGGGCTGCTGCTGCTGCTGCTGCTGCTGTTGCTAAGCCATCTGGTAGACTCTCAAGCCCGGCTCTCTGGGTTCCAGTTTCACCACTCGCCTCTATCCCTGCCCCACCCCCCATCCCTTCCCTTCCCCTCCATCCACTCCCTTCCCTTTGCTGCCTCCATCTGGTACCTTCCTCCCGCCCACTCCCCCCTTTGTTGATGACACTGCCACCCCAGATATAATCATCACGTGTCTCCGTGTTTCGATGTCCTCCTCCCCGCCTCCCTCCCGCCCTTGTCTCTCTTTCCATGCCTCTTCATCTCTCCCCTACTGTTGTTTATTCTCCAGGGGCAGCTCCCAGCGACTCCAATGGGGTGTCCTCCTCACCGCTCTCCACCGCACCGCTCTCCACCTCACCGCACACGCAACCTTTGAATCTCCCTCCTGTGCTGCGCAAGTCGCTGTCCTTGGAGGATTCTGACGACCGCTCTGTGTTCGTCTCCAATGTAAGTAACTCCTACATGTTTTTTTTGTTTATAAAGAATTCTAAGAAAAGGCCGACAATTCTGACAACCGCTCCTCCGTGTTTGTGTCCAATTTAAGTAACTCCCATAAACTCTCTGCTGCTCAAGCACCAGCAGCACCAGCAACTCTTCCCGTAGAGTGGTATTCAAGTGAGCAGCTCGCTCTGTGGCTGGTGCAGGCGAGTTCCTGTGACTCTCAGCAGCAGCACCCTGCAGCAGCAACCCTGTGACAGCAGCAACCCTGTGACTGCATCAACATGCAGTCTTCTACCCTTTCTCGATTCTCCCTTCCCCTCTCCCTCCCCGTCTCCCTTCCCGTCTCCCTCCCCGTCTCCCTCCCCGTCTCCCTCCCCGTCTCCCTCCCCGTCTCCCTCCCCGTCTCCCTCCCTGTCTCCCTCCCCGTCTCCCTCCCCGTCTCCCTCCCCGTCTCCCTCCCCGTCTCCCTCCCCGTCTCCCTCCCCGTCTCCCTCCCCATCTCCCTCCTCCATCCTTGGGTCCCGGCTCTCGCTCCCTGTCAGGTGCACTTTGCAGCAACAGTGTCAGCCCTCACCCTCCACTTCGCAGCGTGTGGGGAGATCCGCCGAGTCACCGTGCTCTCTGACGCCGTCACTGGCAGGCCTAGAGGGTAATACTCGTTACTGGCTACATCACTTGCTTCCATGCATTAGATGCTTTGATGCCATCGTCCTTTTGTTTGCTTGCTTCTATAACCCTTCATACTGATTGTCCAGATTCCTGCTTCCAACTTTCTCCCTTTCACGGCTCCCTGAACCGGCCAAACCATGTCATCACTGCTGCTCCTCTGGCCTCTCCCTCTGCCTGCAGATGTGCTTATATCGAGTTTTCCACCAAGGATGCAGTTGACAAGGCCCTAGCACTCAACGATGCTTCGTTTATGTCACGCCCGCTTAAGGTAATTCCACTGCTATCCATTATACCACTCCTCTATGCTTCTAGACTGCGCTTCGCTGGACTCCTCATCTCCGTTTCTCTCGTTAGACGCCTGTTTGTTAGGCATTTTAGACGGTTTGCAACAGGCACACCCTCTCCATCTTGCGTCTCCAATTGTCTCCAAGGCGTGTTAGAAGTTCCACCTGCTTTCATTGTACTTCTTGCATGCCAACTGTTGTTTCCAAGCAACTGCTTGCACAGAAGTTGCTCTCTCACCCTTCCCATGCAAGCAGTTGCTTGGATTCAGTTATTGGGCTCCTGAAAAGCACATTCTCGATACACAGCTGCCTGGCTCCCGCTTGCAACATGCACTTGTTACACGAGTTCTTGATTCACATGAATTGATCCGCACAACTTCTTGATACACGACTTCTTCTTGATACACGACTTCTTCTTGATACACGACATCTTCTTGATACACGACATCTTCTTGATACACGACATCTTCTTGATACACGACTTCTTCTTGATACATGACTTCTTCTTGAGACACAACTTCTTCTTGATACACGACTTCTTGATACACGACTTCTTGATACACAAGCCGACTCTCCTTTCCCCCTCTCCATCCCTTCGCCGCTTCCCTGCTCCACTCGCGCAGGTCCTCCACAAGCCACATGCATCACTGGAGGCAGTCCCCTCCGCTGCGCCACCTGCACCAGCCATCACTCCCAGGCGCCCCTCCCGCCCTCTCCTCACGCCCACCAAGCTGCCATCCCCAGCACCTGCTGCTAGTCCCACGATCTCCTCTGCCCGTCTGGTGGGTCCGACGAGACGAGCTGCCCACCGGCCCTCTGCCAGAGGGAGCTTGCAGTGGAGGCGACAGCCTGAGCCTTCTGCTGCCGCTCTTCCTGCTGCTGGTGCTGCTGGTGCTGCTGATGCTGCTGGTGCCCTTACTGCTGGTGGTACCGTTGGTGTGCCTGCTCCTGCTGGAGCCAAGGGGGAGGGTAAGGCTGGCGTGAGGAGCAATGACATGGGGCCTCTGCCTGGTGGTGCTCAAACCGCAGCAGCGGATTCTGCTCCTGCTGCTGCTGACACTGCTCCTGCTGCTGCTGCATCTGCTGCTGATGCTGGAGAGGCGAATTGAGGGGCTGAGAGGCAGGACTAGCCGGGCAGAAATGCAGCAGCCGGAAGCTACTGCTTCCAGGGAGCTTTGACAGGGTCAGCTTCACGAAGTGCAGCATGCTGTTTGTACAGCAGTTTTCCTTGCTGTCGCTTTGAGCCGTGCTCGTTTGTGTTTGTGGGCTTTCGTCCAGTATGTCATCTGTCGCACAGGACAGACAGAAGCGTCTGTTGGAAGACTTCTGAATCTGATATGTTATGGAACACCCCAACAACGGAAGGGGTCCCCTTCCATGCGGTAGATTACCTATTGTTTGACTTTGAGAAATAAACATCTTCGTTGCAATCCATTTCCGAGTCTACGCATCCTTACTTTCATGGGCACTTGGACATGATGTAACATTTTGATAACCTCATTGGATATAATGCTTGGTTAGACATGGTAAACGCATTTTGATATGCCGACAATGTTCCCGGTCCTGTCCTGTTATCGAAATACCCTGTTCGGGGTTCAGCCCTACATCCCCTTCAGAGTTCCTCCCCCCACCAAACCATCTGCAGTTCTTCACCATCCGACAACGCATCTCAACCGCCCTGTTAGCGGCCCATACCGCGGTAACTTCCATTCACCCAACCATCTGTGCAACCCGATTCTAGCAAGCAACACAGGGCTGCATTACAATGGGTTACCACGTTTTTCCCCACTTATGTCTGGCTCGTAACCACGTACCTGGGCACGCGCTGGTGACACTCGTCACCTGCTCCTTAGCTGTTGCCTGAATCTTACCATGACAAGCCGCATTTCGTGAATTATGTCGTGTCGGAATCGGCAACGCCACTCTGGAACTTTTGTTTACAAAGATAGACACCGAGTGGACATGGCTTTGCTTACCTCTGTTGGGCCATGTATGGTTAAGGACGAGTCGCGTTGGAGCTTGCTCGGGCTCTTTAAATCCTCGACGACCTTACCACTTGGAAAATGCTGAGCCGACGCATCCCGGATTATCAGGAACATGATAATTAGCCTCGCCTTCTACGCCTCTTTCACCATCCAAAAGCGCAAGACTTGAAACGTGAGGTTGGATTGAAGGCATTGAGTCCCTAGGACGAGACAGATGGTAAATCTCAAGTGGTTGATCAATCATCACGCAAAGCGCATTTCCTCGGAACACAGGGAGTTCGCAAAGTTTGCGAGAAGCGGTTGCAGATCCCGGCAGTGAAAGTTCCACATCGCGGTCACTTGCAACAGGCTTTTCAGAAAACTGAGGAAATCGCTGAGGGAATTGGCGTGAATTCGCTGCTGTTGAGACTCTAGAGGCTGCTGTTGATGATCCAATGACGAGCACTACCAGACCTCTCCTCAGAACACAGCACGAACAGAGCTTTGGCCTGCTTGCCTCAGCATGACACAAAACGTAACCGAATTTGGCGGGAAAGTACTCTTTTTGCGCAAACTGACTCCGTGAAAGCTGGAAATCGTGTCGCATTTCCCACGATCACGGAGACAGGTCGCAACTCTTGTGGACGGGTTTCAAGGCCAGAGGAGGAACCAGTTTGTCCAGCACAGCAGAAAAGATCCTTACGCGTTATGTATGGAACTGTTGCGAGCTGGTGGTGGAAGTTACGAGGCAAAAAGGGTGGGTGATGTTGGTGATCGAGGAAAAAACCGATTTCGGTCAGATTGAACCGAACTGAACCGAGCATACCAGCACCAGCAAAGCAGTGAGAGACAGCAGGTAGTGCTTGATGGGCATCAGGGGGGAGAAATCGTTCCGCACGAAGTGGCTGGCATGGCAAGGTAAGCTCCAACTGGGTGGGCGGAGGGGAGTGGTGTGATGGGGGGATCGGAGCGGTGTTCTCCGCCTCTTTGCAAATTGCCTCTGGCGGTGTTCTGTTGCTTGGCTTTTTGCTGTTGGCGCCACCTAGTTTCCCCCGCACCTGGTTGTGGGGGCCACACCACACCACACAGACTTTTCCCCCCGCTTTTGTTAGAAGCGGGCTGATCCGGTTTGCGCATCACAAGTCGCGCAGATCCCCACCTTGCCAGATTCCACCAACCACCGTGCCCCATCTCCAGGTAACTCGGAAATCACGTGCCGCTGAAGGGCTTTAGGCGGTTGGTTTGGCAGGTGGGCGAAATGCCAGGAGCACAGGTGGCAACCAAAACGAATTTTACGGGACAGCGCAGCATAGCTTGCGAACTCATTGTTTGCACATCGACGGCTCTGAAGGCTCGATTCAAGTTTCGTGCTGGATTTACGTCACCGATAAATTTGAACTGCTGTCGCATTCCCGGAGCGAAACACACCAACATCACGGCGCCGATCGCCAGCTGTGTTTACACGTACGAAGGTCTGGCCAATCAGCGCACATATTCTTGAGAAAGAATCGTCCACATGTGCTTTCCCCGCCCTTGCTGACGCAACTGATGCGCCTTTAATGCTGGAACAGTAGCTCACGTGGCGGAACAGCTGTGCGGAACGTCCAGGTTGCGCCTTGGGATTGGGGGAAGGAAGGAAGCGGAATTTGGTGGGGGGAGGGAAACACGCTGCTGATGGCAATTCAGGCAAAGCACCTGAAGCAAGGAGAGGAATCTGCGGAGTACAAATCTCCAACGAGTCGATCTTTCACGATCAGAGACTTTCTATTAGCAAACAGATCAGTGCCAACACGTACAGAGCTACTGCCAGGCTATTAGTGCAGATCTGAGCCTTCTTGAGCAGCTTTCTCCCCATCTGACACCCTGAAGCGTACGTACGAGCACGCCATGGCTACCGAGGTCCCCACGAACGATAAAGTGGTACGCTTAAGGGCTGTCAACTATCGATGTCACTGCATTCAATGCACCGGATCAGATCGTCCATTGTCAGTTCACAGCCTAGCATCTCCAATGCTTCACAGAACTGATCCCCTCCTTGATTTCTCTCTGTCCAGGTCTTCGACCCAGCTTCCCAGGCGAGGAAGACGACGCGTGCGGGAGAGCACATTCAGAAGGTGAAGGAGATTCCGGACTTCGCTCCCAAGGACATCTACGTCGCCAAGCTCGAGCCCAAGGAGGTCCTCCACAACCTCTCCGTCGCAGGTACGACGCTGCTTTCAGCTACATTCGCCACAATGCGACATGGTAGAATAGCTTTTGTTAATTATAATAATTAAGAAAAACATTGTTTTGCTGCTGATTGTAAGTTTCTCCCGGATATGTCGTGCAGAGCTGTACGAGCAGGCCATCGGCCATGAGGAGGGCAACTTCATCGTCTCCACCGGCGCGCTGTGCGCCATCTCCGGTCAGAAGACCGGCCGATCGCCCAAGGACAAGCGCGTCGTGAAGGAGAGGGACCACGCCGACGACATCTGGTGGGGCGAGTAAGTACCACCCCCACCCCATCCACGCGAATCCTCTCCTGTCCCGTCCCTGAACCTTCTCACCGTAACCAGCTCTACTTCTGTGATCTCCCTTTGACTTTTCTAATTGTCTCAATCTCGGTGTTTTCTAATTGTACAGAGGGTCGCCCAACTACGAGATGGACGAGTACACGTTCATGGTGAACCGCGAGCGCGCGATCGACTACCTGAACACCATCGGCAAGGTGTACGTGCAGGACATGTTCCTCAGCTGGGACCCCAAGCTGCGCATCAAGGTCCGCATCGTCTGCGCGCGCGCCTACCACGCCCTCTTCATGCACAACATGTGAGTACCCCGCCGATTCGCACACCGATCCGTGTATAATTAGCCGCTTTTGTACATGTAGGGCTGGTAATTGGCACGCTAGGTTCTAGTTCTCATGGGTTTCTCTCTGAATTGTCGTTGTGCGTCGCAGGTGCATCCGTCCCACAGAGGAGGAGCTGAAGGACTTCGGCGAGCCCGCCTTCACCATCTACAACGCGGGCCACTTCCCCGTCAACCGCCTCTCCAAGTACATGTCGTCCGGCACGTCCGTCGACATCGACCTCAACCGCAACGAGATGGTCATTCTCGGAACCGAGTACGCGGGCGAGATGAAGAAGGGGCTCTTCTCCCTCATGAACTACCTCATGCCTAAGCGCGGCGTGCTCTCCCTGCACTCCGGCGCCAATATGTCTAAGGACGGCCAGGTGTCGCTCTTCTTTGGGCTGTCCGGCACCGGCAAGACCACCCTCTCTACCGATCCCAACCGCTACCTGATTGGCGACGACGAGCACACGTGGAGCGATGACGGCGTGGCGAACATCGAGGGTGGGTGCTACGCCAAGTGCATCAACCTGAGCAAGGAGAAGGAGCCCGACATTTACAACGCCATCCGCTTCGGCTCCGTCGTCGAGAACGTCGTCTTCGACCCGCACACGCGCGTCGTCGACTACGACGACGGCAGCATCACTGAGAACACGCGTGTGTCGTACCCCATCGAGTTCATCGAGAATGCCAAGATCCCCTGCGTGGCCGGCCACGCCAACAACGTGATCCTGCTCACGTGCGACGCGTTTGGCGTGCTGCCGCCCGTGAGCCGGCTGACGCTGGAGCAGACCATGTACCACTTCATCTCCGGGTACACCGCCAAGGTGAGCACGAGAGGGTGCACGGGGCGTGATGTGAAAGTCCTTGTATCTCAGGTTACAGCGAGCGTGAGGTGAATTGACAAACATGATGAGAGTCACGCTTGTGCAACCCTTCACTAGAAGCATACCCGAAGCAGCTCATAGCATGGCCGGTCCTGAACGAATCCTCATCCTCCCGCCCTCCCGCCCTCCCGTCCTCCCGTCCTCCCGTCCTCCCGCGTTCCAACATCCTTGGATCAAACCATGCGCGCCCCTCTCCTCGTTCCTGTCCTGCAGGTGGCGGGCACTGAGATGGGCGTGACGGAGCCCGAGGCCACCTTCTCGGCGTGCTTTGGAGCAGCGTTCATGATGTGGCACCCCTACAAGTACGCCACGCTGCTGGCGGAGCGCATCAAGAAGCACGGCAGCCAGGCGTGGCTCGTCAACACCGGCTGGACCGGCGGCGGGTACGGCGTGGGACACCGCATGAGCATCAAGCACACGCGCGCCATCATCGACGCCATTCACGACGGCTCGCTCGTCAAGGCGGAGACGGTCAAGACGCCCGTCTTCGGCCTGCTCGTGCCCACCACGTGCGCTGCCGTGCCCAACGAGTGCCTGCAGCCCGAGCTCCTGGTACGTCGCTTAGTGCCTTGACATCCGAGCCTGAGCTCCTGCTCCTCGTGTCTTCGTCTATCTCCCTGTGTGCCCTGGATGCGTTACTGACCCTCTCCCGTGTGTCTTTTGCCCTCGATTGCTCTCGATTGCTGTCGACTGCCCCGTGTTGGTGGTGTGCAGTGGTCGGACAAGGCCAAATACCGCGAGACGCTGGAGAAGCTGGGCAAGCTGTTCCAGAAGAACTTCGGCAAGTTCACCGAGTTCGAGATGGGCGGCGCCACGCAGCGCATCCCCGACGACGTGCTCAACGCTGGCCCCGTCCTGTAAACTAGTCGCACTGGGTGGAGCTGGGGAGGTCATCCTGTGGCGCACTTGTTAGTGGCGTGGTGACTACAGCCCCCTGTGCGGGTGCTGATAGACTACAGGGGCAGCTCTGATGGGTGTTTGTTTCGAGGGGGATCCAGGGGATCCCTTTTTGCGTGTGCTGTGAGGCATGCTTAGCAAAGCTTGTTGCTGTTCTTTGTCCCCTATACCCCTTTGTGCTTGGCTATTTATATTTATATCACCTATCTTCTCTGAAAAATGTGATCTACTGTGCCCCAAGCAAGGGGGGTTGTGATCAAGGGTTAACTCAGTGCCTTTTGCCAGGCCCTAATGATGGACTACTATTAGAGACATCCTCCTGAGCCTTAGCATATGGGCTCTCCCCGAGGCTCCAGGATAAAAGCTCCAGGGTTCTTTCAGGGTATGTGCCAGAACCCCAAACCCCTTACTCAGAATCCCTCCCTGCCATAAAGTAATGCCAAAATTTCTTCTGACCAGACGCTGAAAGAAATGGGCCCAGTTTTCAGGTCTGCTTTCCCAGTTAGAAAATAAGAGTAGAGGTTGCGGGTCTAGGGTTTTAAGATATAGAAATTTCATTATCTTTATTTATCTTCCTGGTGTGGTGTGGTGGGCCCTAAAATTCAGATATTGATTGTATCATTCTCATCGTCCCATTTGCTCACATACTGTTCATGACCTTTCCTACCGTACGACAGATGTTAAACGGTCCCATCCGTTTCAAAACTATAGATTGCCCATCGTTTGCTTCTGGTGATGAATGGAATTATAGCTGTGGAACCGCATGTTGCTCAGGAATTATTATGGTGTATCTGAAATATTCCTACAGGCATATTCAATAAATCCCTATCCTATTTACTTTCTAACTATTAGCCGCAAAACAAGTGCACATTTTCAGGAGTTCCCACATTACTCGTACGTTGCTCTTGTAGCGGATCGAGATTAGTCGAGCACCCTGGACGCATTCGCAGCATAGGGCAGTGCAGCGCTGTTTGCCCATCTTCCCCGGCCAGAGGGAATCCGCTCCAATGGCGGCCCGACTCGGAATCCCTTCTTCCCCGCTACCTCATGACGATTTCTCCCAGAAGAGAGTCCAGCAATAGAAAGAAGTTACCGTTAATTGCTTTCAGATTCGAATCTTGATTTCCAAGTCGAGCGGATATGTCATCAAGTGAGGCTCCTCTTGCCTGATGGACGAATTTCTCGGAGCAGTCGATGGCGTCGCGGCGATCTTGCGCCGCGTGCTGCTGCGCGATCCGAGCAACCGCCGAGAGGCCGCCACGTGGCTCGCGGCGTTCCTCGGCCGCATGCAGCTCCCGCCCGCCCTGCGCCGCGCGCTCCTCTGCCAGCTGATCGTGCGCAGCGGCGCGCTAGGGCCAGGTAAAGAGCGCGGAAGGCAGGGCGGGAGCGCTCAGGGAAAGGGGAAAGGAATAGCGGCGCGGAGATGGTGATGGGATGTGCGATGGGGGTGGGGTGCACCGTGCAAGGAGTAGGGAGGTGTAGGGGGGATTGGATGGAGTGAGATTTAGGGGATTGAGTAAGGGTTCGGGAGCTGAGGAGATATTTTGGTGGTTGTTCGGCGCTGCGGTGAGCTGACTGGCAGTGTCGTCGTCACCCAGCTTTTTTCCTAGACTGACCGCTCTCTCTCAAATCCACTCCTGCTTTTCCATATCCCCTGCCCTGCCCTTCTCAAACCCCCCCCCCCCCCCCCCTCCCTCTTACCCCCTCTTACCCCCTCTTACCCCCTCTTCCCCCCCCCTTCCCCCCCCCTTCCCCCCCCGTCCCCCTCTCCCCCCCCCAAACGACCCCTTAAGTCTCCCCCAGGCTCCTCTGACTGTTCTCTGCTGCGCCAGCTGCTGCAGCTGCTGTGCGAGGAAAGGCCAAAAGTTGCCGCCCGGCTGCTGATGCACGACTCGGCGCTCATCCGCTCGTTCTTTGATGGTGAGTCAACGCGAGTCAGAGCGAGACAACGCGAGTCAGTGCGAGTCAACGCGAGTCAGCGCGAGTCAATGGACGTCAATTCACGCCGTGTGTCCTCTGCTTCGACCTCTGCAGCATGGCACCAACCGCTTTCTCTCATCCCTCTCCTCCTCTCATGCCCCAACCTCTCTCTGCCACCCCACCCCCATCGCCCTCACCTCCTCCCTCACCGCAGCCAGCCCCCGCCGCACTCTCCTCTGGTTCGACCACTTCAGCATGGGGCACAGCCGCACTCAGCCCTCCATTATGGGATTAGCCCGTCCCCTTGCATCCCTCTCCTCTTATTCCTCCTCTCGCCCCCCTCTCCTACTCCCTCTCCCTGCAGCCAGCCCCCGGCGCGTGCTCCTCTGGTTTGACCACTACAGCATGGGGCCCAGCACTCAGCAGGGGGGCGGAAGGGGGGAGGGGGAGTGGAGAGGGGAGGAGGAGGACCATCCAGGTTCGGGCCGGTTGGTCATGCCGAGCCGAGCTCTGGTTCGGAACCACAGGTTCGGCGCGCGAGCTCTGGCACAGTTTGTGTTTGCACACCGAGAGGAGCACTGGCATAGGTTGGTTTGGGCGGGAAAGCACGCTCAGACTCCGGTTACTGTCGCCGCCCGGCCGCATTATTTCTGCGAGCTGGACGTCTCGGGCACCATGAAAAACTTTTTGCGCGAGGTGCCCGAGTTTTGGGCGTCTCCTGAGCTCGGGGAAACGCTGGAAGACGGGGCGTTTTTGTCGCTGGATATCGGGTTTTTTGTAGAGGAGCTGACGAGGATGCTTATAAGGGAAATGGAAGATGAGAGGCGGAGGAGGGAGTGGGAGGAGGCAGTGGAATTAGTTTTGAGGACAGGGAGGGAGGGTGGAGTGGAGAGGAGGGAGGGTGAGGGGAGGGGAGGAGCGAGGGGAGGCGAGGGGTGGATGAGAGAGGAAGCGGGAAGGGAAGTTAGGGGAAGGGAGGAGTGGAATAGAGAGGATGGAAGGCGAGAGGAAGGGAGAAGAAGTCGGGGAGGCATGCTGGTTTGTGAGGCTGTGGAGGCTTTTGTTGAGTCTGCTGACTGGGCGGTGGTGTGCGGTAGAGTGCTGGCTGCGGCAGGGGAAGAGGGGCTGGAGGGTGCTGCAGGGGGGGTGTGGAGATGGATGCAAAGAGGACGAGGGGAGGACCGGGGGGGGCTGGACAAGAGGGGGAGAGGAAGCAAGAGAGAGGATGAGAGGGAGAGGGAGCGGGGTATTAAAAGGGAGAGGGAAGGGAATGGGCGACGGCCATTGAGAGAAGTGGAATGGAGCGAAGGAAGGAAGAGTAAGGTGGAAGAGGCATCAGGAATGATGGAGAGGCGAGGAGTGTTAGAAGAGATGCTCCTTAGGGAGTGCTGGGATGGAGCCGAAGGCAGGAGCAGAGGGGATATAGGGGAGGAGTGGAGGAGAGAGAAGAACGAAGGGGAGAGAAGGAGAGACAGGGGAAGGGAGAGGAGGAGAGAGAAGGAAGGCGAGAAGACGGGCAGCAAGAGCTCACGAAACGCCAAGGCTGGGTCCCTAGCGTCCATTACGTCCGTCACGTCGTTTGAGTCGCTCCTTCTCCTCGTGGGCTGTGCGTGCCACGGCCGGCAGGTGGCGCTGCTGCTGCTGCGAGAGGGCGAGTGGGCGAAGGAGGGGAAGCAGCTGACCGCCGCACTGCAGAGCTGCTTCTCTGCCTCTGCAGAGGAGCCACCGGGTAAGGTGCTGCTGGATGCTATTGTGAATGGCGGCGGTGCAGAAGTAGAGGAGAAGCAGAGGGAGGGGAGGCGGAGGGGTGGAGGAGAAGGGGAGAGGGCCACTGAAGCAGGTATCACGGGAGGGATGCGGGTGGTGATGGGCATCTGGATGCTCCGAGCCCATGTGATGGCAAGCATGGGGTCGGGTGCACATGGAGACGAGCACATGGACACACGACACATGGGCATGGCGATGGGTGAGGTGGGGGAGAAGGAAGTAGCACCCATGTTGAGGTGTCTAGGCGTTGCTGTGGAGCGGACAGGTGCAGAGGGGTGCTTGGGTGAGCAGGATGGGGAAGGTGGGGATGCGAGAGTGGGGGATGGAAAAGGAGCGAGGAAGAGGAAGAGAGGCGAGGAGAAGAAGGATCACCATAGGAAGAGGAGTCGTCAGAGTGAGAGGAAGAGAGGGGAAACGAAGAGCAAGGGGAAGAGGAGGAGCAAGAGGATGAGCAAGAGGAGGAAGAGGAGGAAGAGGAGGAAGAGGAGGCGCAAGGGTGATAGTAGCAGTGATGGCACCTCCTCTCCCTCCTCTTCCTCTTCCAGCGATGAGGCACACAGTAGTAGTAACAGTGAAGCGCCTTCTAAAGAGGACAGGAGCTCGGACGACAGCGAGAGTGAGAGTGAGGATGTGAGGGATGGTGAGGGAGCGAGAGGGAGTAAGGGAGCGGGAGAGAGTGAGAGTGATAACGAGGGTTCAAGAAGCAGCGGGGAGGAGCGGAGAGCACGGAAGCGGAAGCGAGGGAAGCAACAGCGGAGAAGGAGGAAAGATGGGGGCGATGCTGCTGCAGCAGCTGACTGGCATGAGAGGGTTGCTTTGTCACCGCAGCCCAGTGCGGGTCCCAGTGGATGGAAGCTGCAGCTGGGACCGCTGGGGCTTACGTGCAGCGCGGTAAGTGAGGTGCCTTTCAGTTGACTCAACGGAGAATGGCACGGTGGGGTGCGGTTGGCATGGGTGGGGTTGGCATGGGAGGGTTGGCATGGGAGGGTTGGCATGGGAGGGTTGGCATGGGTGGGGTTGGCATGCGTGGTGTTGGCAAGGGAGGGTTGGCAAGCGCAGTACGTTTGAGGAGACTTTTGAGTTGACGCGAAGGTACTGCTGGAATTGCTGGGGCTGCTAGGAGTTGGTACGTGCAGCCTGCTGTGAATGACTGAGGATGCTACGATTGGAAAGGGAAGACTGACACTCATCCTCTGTTATTCTTATTTTTGGAAGGGAAGAGAGACTTGATGGGGTCAGGCAAGTGTGAATTGCAGCATCGTGAACTGTTCTTCGTGACTTGGGGTGGGGGGTTCATCCTTGGGTACTCATCCGTTTTCCCCTCCCCCCTTCTGTGTATTCGCTGCTTTCTTTTTACAGAGGGAGCTTCCAGACGCAATAGCAGATGGTCTGCTTCGCTTGTATATAAATCACATGCTACATGACAGTTCACAATCATAACCACTGGTTACATGGTGTAAAGGGATTTGTTTGTTCAGTGAATAAATATGTTTATGAATCATCTTGTAAAATTCATAGGGATCACCATTAGTTGTCGCTACCGAGTTGTTCATGAGTTGCTGCAATGTCTGCATGACAAGAAGCTGTTTCTATCAACAAATATAATTATCTAGGCTAGCTAGTTTATATTTGTTATAGCCTTAGTTAGGTCAGTTATAAAGGATACAGTCCTACCTTTGTAACCCTCGACATTTTCCCTTAGTCGACATTTCTCTCGACAATCTAACATGGCATCTAGAGCTAGGTCTCGCCCTCTACTCACGCTTCCGCCCTAGCAGACCCTAGCCTAGCGCGCCTCGGCCCTGATTGCGCGCCTCGTAGCTCGTCCCCTCCCCGCCCTCTCCTCTTCGCCGCGTAGCTCACGCCAGCCGCCGCTGGCCCGCGCCCACCAGCGCCTTAATTCGTAGCCGTCTCACCTCCCACCACCCGTTCGTAGCCTTCGCCAACTCGCCAGCCCGCCAACCCACCTGCCCGACAGCTCGTACGCTCGCCAGCCCGCCTGCTCGCTTGCTCGCCGGTCCACCAGCCCGCCTGCTCGCCAGCTCGCACGCTTGCCAGCCCGCCTGCTCGCCACCCCGCCGGCCCACCTGTTCGACAGCTCGCACCCTCGCCTGCTCACCATCTCGCCTGCTCGCCAGCCCGCCTGCTCTACAGCTCGCCAGTCTGCCTGCTCGTCTGCTCGCTAGCCCGCCAGCCCACCTGCTCGCCAGCTCGCACGCTCGCCTGCTCGCCCGCTCGCCTGCTCGCTTGCTCGCCTGCCCACCAGCCCGCCTGCTCGCCAGCCCGCCAACTCGCCTGCTTGCCAGCCAGCCAGCCCACCTGCTCGCTAGCTTGCACGCTCGCCTGCTCGCCAGCCCGCCTGCTTGCCAGCGCGCCTGCTCGCCTGCTCGCAAGCGCACCTGCTTGCCAGCTCGCCTGCTTGCCCGCTCGACTGCTCACCAGCCCGCCTGCTCGCCTGCTTGCCAGCAGCGCCAGCAGCCAGCAGCTAGCTTAATGGCTCACCAGCGCCATCAGCCAGCAGTTAGCGCCAGCTCGCCAGCGCCGACAGCCAGCACCAGCTAGCTCGCCAACACCAGCAGCCAGCAGCCAGCTTGCTGGCTCACCAGCGCCACCACTGCCAGCAGCCAGCAGCCAGCGCCGGCTGATGCCACCCACTGCCACTACCGCACCCACTAGTGCCCGCTGCCACCCCGCTGGTGCCTAATGCCGCCCACTGTCGTTGCAACCGCCACTACCGCAACCACTGCTGCCGCTGCTGTCGCTACAGCCGCCGCTGCTACTCCTGTCGCCACTTCTGTTGCCCACCGTTAGCCGGCCACCAGCCGCCAGCAGCCGACCGCCGACCCTCAATCGTCAGCCGCCAGCTGCCACCACTCGCGGCCAGCCACTAACCACCAGCCGCCTGCCGCCAGTCGCCAGTCGGCCACCTGCCACATGAGTCCCCCGTGCCCTGTTGACTGTCCTTCGTCCTATGCCGCCAATCCTAGTGCCTCCCAGCTAGCTCCTTGGCGTACTGCTCCTAGTAGATCCTCTCACGCATACTTCCTCCTTGTTTGCTCCCCACTCCTCCTAGCAGCTCCTAGCCTACCGCCGGCTACCAACTAGCCGCTACTGCCGTCTTACGGCCATAGTCGCCACTGCTACTACCTCTGATTGTACTCCTCGAGCACCTAGTGCCTCCCACTAGTCTCCTCCTCGTTTCTAGAGTTCCTCGATGCCTCTCCTCTCGGCATGATGGCCTCATTCGGTTCAGTCCCTCGGCCAGACCGCCGGGCACTTCCCTCCGCTATCCGATTTCTCGCTCACCGTCTACAGTTGGTGAGCCCGCACCTAGACTGCACGCTCCTAGAGGATCACATGAGTTACCTCATTGGCTTCTGGCTCTACGACCTCAACGTCTGCTTTCGGGCTCTCTGGCCAGTGCCGCACCACCACCACCAGCAGCAGCAGCCGCAGTGGGGTCTTGGGGGTGCTAGGCGAGGTGGAGGCTCTGGAGGTGCGGCCCCGGGGCTGTCCCTGCCCTGGGGCCAGTGTGGTTTCTCTGGAGGACCGGGGGCCTTGGGGCCTAGGGGTGTAGGTCCCACCACTGTGTCTAATCTAGGAGCCTCTACCACGTGTCCACTAGGCTCCTCCACTGCCCCTCCTGCGGCGGCCCTCTCCTTTATCCTTGACTCGGGCCCGTCTCGTTGATTCTTTAGGGACAGCACTGCTCTCACCCCACTTCCTGCGCCCGTCCACGTCGCACTAGCAGATTCCTACGCCACAGCTGTTGCACGTAGCACCACCACTCTCCCCTGTCTAGCTGTCCCCTCGAGCTCCCTCACCAGTCTGCACATCACCTCGTTTGCCAGGAACCTAGTGGGTGTTGGTCACCTTCAGGACCGAGGCGTCACCACTACGTTCCGTGGCCGCGAGAGACACGCCGCTTGTATAGACACAGCCACCGGTTGGCACTTAGCCACATTTGAGCATGACACAGGGTCCGGTCTCTTTACAGTGCATACTGAGTCCCCGCCGACTGCTGCGTCTGCCGCGGTTGCCACGTCGTACTCCTGTCCCTCCATAGCCCACCCGAACCTTCTGTGCCACCACCGCTTAGGTCACCCTGCACTCCTGCGTCTTAGGCACATGTCCCAGCACGGTCTAGTCACTGGTCTCCCTGCGTCGCTCCCCGCCCTGCCTACGTCAGTAGCATCACTGTGCACGTCGTGCGTCGAGGGCCGGCAGCGCGCCGCCCCTAACTCCTCCTCGTTTCCTCCTACCACAGCACCACTACAGACACTGCACATGGACGTCTGGGGCCCTGCCCCGGTCCATGGTCTTAGTCGGGAGCGCTACTTTCTAGTCATCGTTGACGACTTCTTGCGCTTCACCACAGTGTTCCCTTTGGAGCGGAAGGCCGACATGCCTACCATTCTCCTCCCATGGCTTCTCAGTGTTCGCACCCACCACCTCCTGCATGTAGGTCGCTTACTCTCTGACCGAGGTGGCGAGTTCGCCTCTAGCACTTTAGGACGGTTCTGTCGTGCGGATGGCATCCGCCAGACGTACACACTGCCGGACTTCCCACAGCTGAATGGGATCGCTGAGCGACGCATCGGCCTGATCATGGAGGTGGCACCTCCATGGTCTACGCCGGTGCAACACATTTTCTGTGGTCATTCGTTGTGCGTTACGGTGCTCACCAGCTTAACCTGTGGCCGCGCTCCCAGCGGCCACAGGTTTCGCCGACCCTCCTCTGGGCCCGGTCTCCTGGTGACGCGTCTGCGTTCTACATCTAGGGCAGCCTTGGTCACGTCCGCGACACTTGCGCGATCATGCTCGCAGCCCGCACCCTTTCTTGTGCCTTCCTGGGGTTTCCGCTTGACGCATCTGACCGGCTGTTCTACCACCCATCAAACCACCGTTTTTATCACTCTCGTGACGTTACCTTCGACGAGACACTCCCCTACTACCGGCGCTTCCCGCACCGCAACGCTCCTGTGCCTCCTCCTCCTCTCTTCCTTGTCCCTATTCCGCCTGCCGCACACCTCCTGCCCCGCCCAGCCCAGTCTTGTGTCTCCCACGCCACTCAGTTTCCCTCGGTGGCGCCCGTGGGGGAGTCGGCTAACTCTGGGGGCCTAGCTGCTGGGGGCGCGCCTGCTGTCCCTTCGGCGCCTTCCCCAGCCTTGGTACCCCAGGCACCTCAGCCGCCTCCTCCCTTGCCTCAGCAGCAGTTCCGTCGCCGCAACAGACTCAACGGCCGCAGCAGCAATAGCAGGGAGCAGTGGGCTCTGGGAGTGTTGGTTCTGGGGGTGCTGGTGCTGGCGGTGTTGGTGTTGGGGGTGCTGGTGGTGTTGGTGTTGGGAGTGCTGGTGTTGGTGAAGTTGGTGTTGGGAGTGCTGGTTCTGGGGGTGCGAGTTCTGGGGGTGCGAGTGCTGACTCTGGGAGTGCTGGTTCTAGGGGTGCGAGTTTTGGGGGTGCTGACTCCGAGGTGCTAGTCCTGGGGGTGTTGCTTCGCGGTGTGCCGGTGGCAGCTGCGGTGCCGCAGAAGGTCCTGGAGAGGACAGGGAGCAGTTGGAGCTGCAGCAGGAGCAGTCGCAGTCTACCCTTCATCTCCTTGGTCTTTCTCCAGGTTCCCCTGTCTGCCCGCCCGTTCCCCCTCCGGTGCGTGGCCCTGTTTACGGCCTGTTTTTTCCTCCTCCGGACTCCTCTCCAGCTCGTTTTCCCCCGCACTCCCCTCTGTCCCCTAATTTGTCCCCTGTTCCCCCTTGTCCCCAGTCCCCAGTTCTTCCCCATTGGGTCCGTCGCCCCACTTGTGCTCGTCCTGTCTCTCCCCGTCCTAGTGTCCACCCTATGGTCCTTCGTTCGCATGCTCTTCCAGTCAATGTCCTCCCGTTGCCTCCCCCGTCGTCGCTCCCGTCATCTCCCCCTCCTCGCTCCGATGCTGCTCACACTGCTTGCGTCGCTTGTCACTGACCCTACTGCTCTTCCTGAGTTTGTCTTTGCGTTTGTCGCTGCAGTCATTGACTTTGCTGCTAGCCACCGCCTTGACTACGCTGTAGCTCTAGTCTCTGGTACTGCCCGTCCTCCGTCCGTCGGGGGTGCACCTGCCCTTGGCAGTGACGTGCTAGAGGATAGGCAGTACGAGTTGGCCTACCTTGCTGCCATTGTTCCCCATCTCTGCTCCAAGCTTGTATCCCCAGAGGGCGACCCAGACGCTCTCGACATCCCTATTCCGCGCTCTTACGCTGAGGCGGTGTCAGGGCCCTGGGCAGGCCTGTGGATACAGGCCATGGAGGCTAAGATGGCATCATACAAATCCACACGCACTTACATCGACGTAGTTTCCCCGCCTGGGGCGAACGTAGTCGAAGGCATGCGGATCTACAGGGTGAAGCGCGCACCTAGAGAGCCGTTGAAGTTCAAGGCACGTTACGTGGCTAGAGGCTTCAGTCAGCGTGAGGGTGTGGACTTCTTCCAGACCTTCTCCCCTACCCCGAAGATGACTACACTTCGGGTCCTTCTTCATTTAGCCGCGTAGCGTGACTACGAGCTTCACTCGCTCGACTTCTCCACAACGTTCCTACAGGGTAGCCTGCAAGAGCAGATCTACCTCCGGTGCCCTCTAGGCTTCTCTGGGTCCTTCCCACTTGGGACCGAGTGGA